ATGTGTAGGAACACAACCCTTATGGTTCGTGTTCAACCTCGTCAATTAAGTTTGTCATTGGATCTCAACCAACCTTCGAGCTAGACAGATTGCCTGTACTACTCATCGTTACCCCAAGCCATCGTTAGGTGTTTCACCCAGGCGACTTACCCCTACTGTTCCAGAGCCAGAGTTCATCCTCGAGAACCAATCGAATAGTGCTTACGAGCTTTGCTTAAAGTACGACTTCAACAGTACCCCTGATCAGCTTAGGAGGATTGTATGTGAGACTCAATTACCTTTGAGTTCCTTCAGGAACTCCTTGAGAGTATGCCAGCTTGTTGCCAGGCAGTGATTGATGCTGAGGGGTGGTCACACAAAGTAGTGAGATTTGTGTGTAACAAAAGACTGAATAGAGATTAGTCTACTTCAATTTCTGGTGGCAACACCCCTATTATGCACTGGCCAAGGGACTCTGCTTTTGCCCGAGACCATAGTATGCAGATCCATGGGTACTACAGGATTGGCATCTTGTGCATTTCAGGGTTGTTATTGGAGGGTTGCGCCATTCGTTTGGTTGCCGAGGCCACTAACGTAGCTCCGTTTCAGCATATACTCGCTTGACATGCTGGCCACGTTCGTGGTTGCATGTCACCCGAGATGATACTTTCTACCATGACTTCATTGTAGACAAGAGATCATTCAATACGACACTGCGCTTGCGGATCTCACCATACACCAGCGCTTTGTCCATGCAACCCAGCGCTTCCCCCACTGAGCTCAAGAGCTAACATGCCGCCAGACGTCTAGCGCCGATCGGCACGCATGCCAGATGCGGGTGCCTGCAGGTAGCCTCGGCATGAGGCTGCGAGGAAGTTTGGGCAGGGTCAGGCTTTCGATGCACAAACACCGAACGTCGAGTATCAGAGATCCCGTCTCCCGTCATCACTTCTCCGCACAGGCGAAGAATGAGACATCCATTGGACAGGTATCAGCCAAATTCCAGTACAGTGGCATCTGGCCGGGATGAAGTACCGTGACTAGAGGCATCAAGTGTGGTAGGCTACGATAGTGTATGCATCGACTCATCTGGTCGGTGTATAGTCAGCGGAGTGGAGATTGACTGTGCAACAGGTCGATCACTGGCCTAATGGACTGGCACTATGATAGTCAAACTTACTTTCCTGTACCAGACATATCATCTTGTCTGAGAAGATATAAGTATGAGTAGCAACGCTCTCCAAGAAATCCATCGACTCAGCACCTCGACCAACATTCCATTCACGCACTCACTTCATACTCAACTTTCGCTCAACAACCCTCGTTCATCATGCACGCTTCCACTCTTCTCTCCGTCCTCCCCCTTCTCGCAGGCACCTTCGCCGCCCCTGTAGATGATGTCAAGCGCGCCGTATCCGCCTCCTGCCCATCCTACACCATCATCAACACCCGCGGCACCAGCGAAGCCCAGGGGCCCTCCGCCGGCTTCAGGACAATGAATTCGCGCGTCACTGCCGCCCTCAGCGGCGGCAAGATCTACGACACCGTCTACCCAGCCGACTTCTCCCAGAACTCGGCAGCAGGCACCACCGCTATCGTCAACAAGATTACCAGCACCCTGCGAACAAGCCCTAACGAGTGCTTCATCCTTGAGGGGTACTCTCAGGGTGCACAGGCTACTGTCAATGCTTTGCCAAAACTCACAGGCGCCAACTTCAATGCTGTCAAGGGCGTCTTCTTGATCGGTGACCCAGCGCACAAGTCTGGCTTGACTTGCAATGTCGATAACAACGGCGGCACTACTACCCGTAACGTTAATGGTCTGTCTGGAGCTTTCGGCACAGGTATCCCAAGCAACTGGATTTCTAAGACACTTGATGTGTGCATATACGTGAGTCTTCCTCCTTTACCAAGTATCTTGATTTGTGGCAAGGAGAACGGTGTGCTGACGAGAAACCGCAGGGTGATGGTGTATGTGACACTACACACGGCCAGGGGATCAACGCACAGCACCTTCAGTATCCTAGCGATGCTCCTACACAGAACCTTGGTAGCACTTTCATCCAGAAGCAGCTGGCTTAGGTGGATTGAACGACTTCTTGTATATTCTTCTGTTCCAACTTGGTTCTTTCGCGCTTCGTGCCGATAATAGTTTCGGATAACTGTAACCAGCAAACATTATCTATCGTTCACTATTTGTTCCCGAGTGCTTGTCAGTCTGATGCTTGTATTACTCGACGGCGATTCCAGCTCTGGATGGTTTCGAGTATCCTCGTTTTTGGCTATGCTGTTGAACATGACATACTTCACATATCGGGGCAGTATATGAGCCTCTCCTATAATGGCTTCAAGATTATATTTACCTCATGCTGACGAAATTATGCACTGTCATCCTGGACGACACAACTTCGCCAGTATGCATCCCTACCTCCCACCCCTGATAAACCGCAGTATTCCCCCCCTCCCAAAAAAAAAGCTCCTTCCCCGTCGTATCCACATCCAACCCCTCACCTCCCTCAAATCTAAACAGCAAACAACTCTCTCTCAACTCCCTAAGCAACTCCGGATCCGTAGGCTTCCCAGTCCCGCCATTCACACGCTCATCACTCGCAACCCTTCTAACATTTTCATCAACATCGCAGGTTATGTATATAGGGAGGAAAGGTCGTTCAGCTTGGACTGCGGCGTTCTGGTATTCTGCGGCGACGCTGCGTTCTAGTTCATTGTTTGTTTGGAGATCTACAGCCGTCAACAACGCCAGCACACCCCAAGCATAACTGCTACTTACCTGTAAACACCACGACCTGCGATAGCTTGTCCAGGTCGCTGACAACTTCTCTAAATACGCGTTGGCGATACAAATGCTGTTCTTTCTAGTAGTCTGGGTGGGTCTGCGGGAAGTGCGCTTCCACGGGGTCGATGAGTTTGTGGTTGTCTATTAGAATCATGGATGGAAGAAGTGTTGTGAGACTGCGAGCGATTGTTAGCTTGCCGCTGCCAAGGAAGCCGTTAATCCAGACCAGAGGTGCTGGCTTGGGGGCCGCCACGGCGTATAACTGGCGCGGGTGGATGCCCAAATGCAAATTTCCAACTCAGATCCACGACCGATGAAGGCAAGAAGGATATGCATACATAGACGCTCACTCATCTACGTGAGTTCTTGTTTGTGACTTCCGCAATGGGAAGAGCAACATCATTGGTTAGCAAACTACTGGGAAGAACTTGCGAGGAATCACAGAAATGCTTTTACATCTCAACTCTATTTGCTCGCATATACATTTGCTACATCATCGCCGCTAATTGCAGCTTCTTACAACTCGTCATGGTTCTCCTTTCCTACATAGTTCTTGTACTTCTCCGGATCCCACTTAACACCAGCCTTCTCCAGCGCCTCCTTCAACTCCTGCTCGGTTGGTCCACGGCCGCCGTGGGACTCCATATTGGGTCCATCGTTTTCAATCTCCTCGCGCTGGTGATCAGCCTGAGATTGTGCATCAGGCTGCTCGGTCTCGGCCTCACCCTCCTTGGGAGCGACAGGGGTCTCAGTGGGCTTCTCAGTCTTGCTCTTCTTAACCTTGGACGCCTTCTTGGCCTTAGGCTTGGTTGTAGCCTTTGGCTTCGGGGGCTTGAAGTGCTTCATCTTCTTCATCATCATCTCCATGACGACGTCGTCGAGCTGCTTCTTCTGGTACTTGAGTTCCTCGACAGTCAGAACAGGCTCCTCATGGCCTTGGAGCTTGTCCTGCTTGGCCCGAGTTTCCTCGAGCCACTTCTTTGCCTTGTCGGTTACATCTTCGATCTTCGTGCGGTCCTCTTCGGTATAGATCTCGGGGACCTCTTCGATCTCAGGAGTGGCGGATGCGGAGGGTGCGGATTCGAGGTCCTCCTCCTCAAGCTCATCGAGTGGGTCGACGGAGGGAGAGGGAGAAGGCGAGGCGGAAGACTTGGATGCTGCCTCGGCGCTCTTGGAGCTGTAAGTAGCTCGCTCGGCGATCTGGTTGTTGACAAGCTCAACGACTTCTTTCATGCCGCCGATAGTCTCCTCGAGATCAGTAACGGCACCAGGACGCTTCCAAGACTGGCGTCTGCGGCGAAGGATGGGGTTGACAATATCTTCGAGCTCCTTGAGCTTGGCGCGGAGGGTCTTCTCGTCAGCGTTGGGGCCATCAGAGTAAACCCAATCGGAGGCAGCGTTGAGCCTGTTCTCAAGCTCAGTACGGGTAGCCTCAGTAGAGACAGCGACAAAGTCATCATCATCGAAGTAGTCGCGAGCACGGTAGGTGAAAGCTTCGAGCGAGTTGAGGACTTCCTCACGGACGCGGCGAGCCTTATCAGAGGCATCAAAAGCGGCGAGCCTGCATCGTGTGAGCGTGGGTGCGAGGTCTGTAGTGATTGATATGCTCCTTACCTATCCTGCATCTTCTTGAAATCCTTGCGGGCGTGCTTCTCGTAACCAAGTTGCTTGACATCGTAGGTAATAGCAGACCTGACGGTCTTCTTCTTAGGCTTCCCGTCGTCAGAGGCCTCAGCTGCCACAGCAGAGGAGGACTTGGAACTTTTGGAAGACTTCGACGAAGATGAAGACTTGGAAGCGGACGCAGGAGCGGACTCAGAAGAGGTATCGTCCTCCTTCAGGGCTTCCTGGTCCTTCTTGCCGCCCATACCGAACAGGTTCTTGACACCATCAACGATGCCACCCTTACTGTCATCAGTGGCCTCGCAAGTGACCCAGGCGGATGTGACCTCGGGAGTACCGGTAACGGGGCTGAGCCTGACCTGGACGTAGTTGTTGAAAGAGTCACGATCGCAACCATCGGTATCAATCAGCTTGGTCACTGTGCTGGTCAAGTTGAGACTCTTGAACAGAAGAGTAGGCTCCTTAACCTCCTTGCCCTTAGCGTCAGGAATGGACTGGTAAACGGTGAACTCAAACTCGCCCATCATGTTGAAAGGCAGGTCCTTGGTAGCGCCAAGCTTGGTGCTGGGAGTGAAGATCTTCTGATCGCGGGTCTTGAGGTTGTGCTTGTACTCGATGCCGTGGTTGTAGCCCTGAGTGTCCGAGTCCCGGATCTCTTTAACACGGAACGAGGGGCTGAGACCGGCAGCCTTAAAAGCTGCTCCAAAGACGGCGGCCTCATCGGAGTTGACGTTGGCTCTAATCTTGTCTTTTCCAGCAACAGCCTCGAGACGAGCCTGCACGAAGGGTGTGCGAGTAGCGCCACCGTGGACGATGACGGAGTCAATGTCCTCGATTGTCAGGCCGGCAGCTTCCAAAGCCTTCTTAATGGGAACATCAACGCGTGCAGAGACCTCGGATGTGAGCTGCTCGAACTTGGTGCGGTCGAGCTTGTACTTGAGGTCGATGTCCTCGAAGAGAGCCTCGAAGGAAGCTTGTGTGGCCTGGTTGGCGCTGAGGACTTGTCGGATCCTCTCAGCCTCCTTGAACAGCTTCGCAGCGGTACGACCGTGGGTGTTTATCTTCTCGGCGGTGATGGAAACGCTCTTCGCGGCCGGCAGCTCAAGGAAAGTGTTGATTATATCGTCGACGATGAGGGAGTTCAGCGCATCACCTCCGAGTGTCCTGTCCCAGCTCGCCCCGAGAACGTTGACTTCCTGGACAGTCTTGTTGCGCTTGCCAACATCTTTGACAGACCTGCCCTGGAACTGCAAAACAGTCGCGGACGCAGATCCAGCGCCCATGTCGAACACGAGATTGATTTCCGGCTTGCCTGCCTCCTTACCGTTGACGGTGGGGAACACCCTGCCAGTCGCGTAGTTGATGCCGACAGCCACGCCATCGCTGACTACGCTGAGGACCTTCAAGCCTGCCAGCTTGGCCGAAACCTCGAGCGCGCGCCTCTCCGCAACATTGTAGAAGGGAGGAACGGTGAAGACGACGTCCTGAACATCGTAGCCGGTACCAGCCAATGCCTTTGCGTTCTCGCGCACGTTCTTCAGGACCATAGCGAGCACCTCCTCGACAGAGAAACTCTTCTCCTCCTCAGCGGAGAAGATGCTGCTCTTGAAGCTGACCGTCTTGCGTCCTTCTGTGCCTCTGACTTCGAGCGCAGGGTACCTTCCGTTGTAGGTCTTGACCGCATCGCTATCGCTGGAAACACCGAGGAGGTGCTTCAGGTTGGGATATACATCGCCGGGGAAGCGAGCCTGGAGGGCAATGGCATCGGCGCCGTAGAATCGTTCGGGGAAAGAACCCTCGGGGAGAGCACCGCTCTTGGACGGCTTGAAGGCGATGGCGGATGTCTCTTTGCGGCGCGAGTCTTTGGTAAGAACAATTTCGAGGGGAATGCCAGGCTTGACGAGAGCGGCCTTGATGTATTCGGTGCCCAGGTCGACACCCAGCACTGCCGAGGCGGCGGAGGCGGTCGATGAAAAGAGGAAGAGGAGGCCGAGCAGCATTGCTGCCGGAGAGGCACTGTTTCGCCGGCGTCTTGGAGGCGCCATATTGTGTGGTTGAGGTGTAGGAAAGTTGCGGCGTGGGGGTAGAAAGAGCTCGAGGTGGGATGCCGCGAACAGCGCGGAGAGATGATGGATGTCGAAACGATAGCAACAGAAGACTCGAGAGGCTAATCGTCAAAGACAAGTGAGAGGGAATCTATCCCAGAGAATGAAAAAGTGCAGTGAGGTGTGCAGTACTGTGGTACATGCAGCGTGAAGGACAATGTGTTTCGGCGAGGTGTTAGCTTAAATGATCGCCGGAGCTTTATGACACGCTGGCTCCAACGTCGGTGAAAGGCCACATTGACATCGGGCGAATGCCAACCCTCACGAGTCACAAAAGCAAATTGAATCAATGCTTGTCAAGCTTAGATTGCCGGTGCCTGAAACACTGCAGGATGATTGCTCTTATCCAATCCAGTCTATTGGGTTCCTGTTACTTCCTTCGTGTCCTTGAAGTTCTCTGGCCAATCGGTGGTCTCGCTTCGCCGCAGCTGGGCAAGGCCCCTCAGAGCTCCATGTCTCCCACGCTTCTAATCATACTGACGTTGGTGAACATGATGCCTGCCGGTCATTGCAGGAATTGCTTGTCCTGGTAGAGCAGTGACGTGGTGATGTTAATATGAAAAGCTGTTCGCTCAAATTCCACGGTTGAACTCAACCTTCCCGTCCTTACCACCGCGCGCATGGAACTCAGGCTCCAATGAGGTTGCACTCACGCTCTCCCTCTGCGGGAACGCACCAAGAGCCAGCGGCAGCGCAAAGATGCTCGTCGCAAAGATGAGCCCCAAGTTGATCGGCGTAGTCATCCTCGGCCTTTGCTTCAGCCACTCTGTCTTCTGCAGCCTGACCAAGATCAAGGGCGGCAAAACCATGATTGGTGTCGCGTTGAGTACACGACTGACAGCTGTCTCACCCACTGCAACTGTAGCCGCCTTTTTGCTCTTGCCCAGCGGTTTGACTTCCAAGTCACCGGTTTCCACGCGCTTCTTCTCTTCTTCGGTCAAGACGGGGAAGATGGGAATGCCGTGCTTGATCTCCTCACCGCGCATCAGGAAGACGTTGAGCACACCAGCGAAGGCGACGGCTGCAAAGGGTACGAGGCGGCTAGCGATGAGCTTTGCGTTGGGCGAGAGGCTCTTTAGGCGTGGGACGGTGGCATTGAGACCGTATGCGACACCGCACGATGCGCTGACAGCGAGAAAGTACGACTTCGCAATTGTTGCTGTAGAGAGCGGGGTTGCCTTGTTGGCGTTGGAGTAGTTGATGGCGACGTTGAGCGACTGGTTGGCTACCTGCCAGCCAAGTGTTCCTGCTGTCTGCTCCTTCTCAGCTTCAAGACCCTTTCCCCATTGACGTGTTGCATACCGTAAGGTTGGGTGTGAGCATGCCACCTGTGACGACCAAGTTGGACAGCACGAACGCTGACATGCGGAACGGTAGAAGGACTGGCTCGCCAGTATCTTAGTTGTTATCAGCCTTTTGCTCCTCGCCTCTAGTGCCAATTACGCATACCAGGGTGTATTGTCGAGTCGATAACCTTCTTTGCGCTCCATAGCTCCGGTGTCATTTCCCGTACCTTGCCCGTCTTATACGCAGTGACGAGTTGTTTGGCATTCTCGAGGCCAGCAGAGGATGTGAAGAGCGTTCTGCACAGTGTGTGGTCAGTGGTGCGGTCTGAAGAAGTTGCTGAACAGTCATAGATAGCACGGTCGTTGCACATGAGAGAAAGGGTGTGTAAAGCAGAACAGCAAGTCAAAGGTCGTGGACTCACCACTCCCCGCGTATCCAATGTCATATCAATCGCTGTGCAGCTGTCTCACCTCGGGTCTGAAATGTTGGCGGCGTGCTGCACGCGACCCCAGTACGTGGTGAGGTCATACTGAGAGCTCGGGAGGTCGCGCGTTCCAGGCAGGGAGGAAGTCATAGCTGCGTATAATTGATCGAGGCGATTGCAGCCTTGTTGACCTTGCGCAGGGCTTCTTGTGTGAGGTCGTTGGTGGAGTGCGTGGCAGCGCCTGTAAACCTTATCCGTCGCAAACGAAGCCGACCAAAGAGATGCCGGCGAGATCGGCGGTGAGCTTTGAAGGGCAAGCGATCCCGAGCAACACACGAACTACGGAAGCTGCAACCGTGCGTAAGGATATCTCATTTCAATTGCTATATAGGCTTCGCTGCTATGCTATGCATCTAAGGTATCTTCGTCTTATCCTTTCCTATTCAAGTTGGTGCGCGTATATATGGCACGCGCGTGCGATGTCGCTAAACGTCTAAAAACAGTACCACGCAAGTGGTCAATGCAATTATATGCAAAATATCTATGGGAAAACCAAGCCAAACACTTATCGCAGATCAGACCGTAAATTTCGTGTCAACAAATCGATCACCTTTTCTTCTTCTTGTCCTTGGGATTGAACGGTGGCGATCCAAGGATGGCATCGAACGTCCTGCTTGGGTCGCTGCTCGACTGAGGTCGGTTCACAGGGGAGTGGGTAGGTGGTGCAATGCCAGGTGGCAGAGGCAGAGCCTCCAATCCAAGGCTCATGACGCTGTTGCGCTTGCTCGCGTCGTGAGGACTATTCGATCGAGGCCGGGCGTGGGCTGATGAAGGGTCGAGTATACCCGGAGGTGGAGGCAGGGGTGCAGCGGTACCGTTCAGCTCCTGCATAGCTGCGTTCAAAAGCGTGTCGTTTGCAGCCCATTCTTGAGCCCTCTTCCAACAATGCGAGCGTCGGAAGACGCCCTCGACACCATGCTCGACGATGTCAGTTGGCAGACTCACAACCTGAGCACCACCTTGAACACCAAACCATGTTCGTGCTCTGGTCGTGTCTTCGCGGACCCAGGGTACACCGCTGCGGGGAACCTCACACAGGAAGTACTCGACACCTTCAGTGAACCGTACTCCAGGCGCGTCGACTACCAGCATGGGCAGTGACTGAATGACGGCATAGATAAACAGCCACTGTCCGCTTCTGAGTTCCCACAGCTCATCCATGTTCGAGCCGGAAGCTTGCTTCTTCTCGAAAGTGAGGAAAGCTTCTAAGAAGGGTGTCTTTTGCTGCGCGTCAGCATTGGTAGCGTTGTGCAGCATCTTGGTGATCTCCTCGCTCTTCAACTTCTTGCCCCGCGCTTTGGCATCCTTCTTTTCGTCTCCAGTAGGATAGTCAGATCTCAGACCCTTGAGAGTGGGGTACATCGGCAGATCAAATGGAATCGGCGGTTGCACAGGTGGCGTGCTGCGATCGTACTCGCTGAGTGCTTTGCGCATAGCGCGGGCATTTACAGCCACAAAGCCCATTCCCTCGTCCTCCACCAAGAAACCGTCGGCCGTCCTGTTCGTTAAGTCGGTCCGGTCGACAAGTAGATCGTATAAGCCAGATAGATCGCGGTACATGTCTCGCAGGACCAATCTGTTGAGACCGTTGGTCGTTAGGTTGTTTTTCTTGTTTCGCGCTTTCGGCAGCCACGAGCCGTACTTGTGTTTGTAGTAGTCGATCATCCAGCTTCGTGTGCTCATGAAAGCAGATCTCCACCTTTTGAAGTTGATCATCTTCCCTTCGCTTGCCATAGCACTGTTCATGATACCCGAGAAGATAGCAGCGAACTCAAAGTCCTTGAGCTTATTGTTGATGTTGGCCTCTCGGTTATCCAGATCCAGGGCAGCTCGAGCCATACGAGTTCCTGTCTTCGGGCTGACCATTTCCCACTTGGGCGACTGTAGGCCCTTGACATCGTCGTACTTGCCAATCGCGTGTACGAAACCTTCGGTGTAGAGTCCCATGGAGCGCATCTTCTCGCCGAGGACAATGGCTTCGATTGTCTTTTCGCGACTCTGCCTGACATCTGCCATGTTCAGCTCGTCAACGTAGCTGTCAAAGCTAGAAGCGGCCACTTCGCCAAAGGTCGATCCGTCAACGTTGGAGAAAGCATAGTGGGACAGAATGTCGGCGATGCGCAGGAAGATGTCGAAGATGTCCGAATGTCTTGTGGTAGCGACAAGAGACTGTCCAATCAAGAAGGCAAAGAAGTTGCGGTAGGTCACCAATGTGTCGGTGTCCTTCTGGGTCAGGCGTGGTTCTTGTGGGATGACGGCGTCGTCCGAGCTTAGCGCTATTGGCATGTACAAGTGCTTCTCGGTGTGGTCGTCCTCGGTTGCATCGCTGAGCGCTCTCGAGCCCTTCGATCCGTCTGAACTGTCTATCTGGCTCTGGTCTGGAGAAGCAGTGCGCGACTGCTCTTGGCCTACTTCAGTCGAAACTGGGCGCGAAGATCGTACTGGGACTTCATGGGGAGGTGCGACAACATCGTCGCTGTACAAAGACCCATGGACAAAGCGAGTGAGCAGTTGTGATGCTGCGTAGACAGACGAGTCGATGCGGAAGGAAGCGCCTTTGCCTGAGGTTCGCGGGAAGAGGTAGACGAAGGTGTCACCTTGGTCGTCCCAAAGCTCTGGCACCTGTGCTACCCGTTAGCATTCTCCACGTGGAACTAGCGCGAACAACAAGCGCAACGCACCTTCTCGCCGTTCAACAGCATCGTGAGATTGTACGGCACCTTGCCCTTGTGCCCAACAATCCACGCAAGCGGGCTGTTAGCACCTCCTGCGTGGCTGACGTCTGTCATGCTACTGTTGTTACCTCCAAACAATCCACTCTTCCGCCTCAGCTTCTTCAGCTTTCCTTCATTCCCAACTTCCAAGGTTGGTGTTCCTGGTCGGCTGCCAAAGCCACCAGGGGATGAGCTGCGCGACGGTACATCGAGGTGCGGAGGGGGTTCGAGAGGTTCGAGAGCTGGTGAGCCTACAGGCTGGATGGTAAGCTGGTTTGGAGGTGATTGACGGCGCTGTGGCGACGGAGGAGGGTATTCGGGCGCTGTTAGGTGTGTCGCAGATTGCTGCGTTGACGATGCTGCTGAAGAAATGCGGTTCTTCACTTTGCTAAGGCGGCTGCTGGATTCCGACGAAGCCGCAGAGTTGCTTTGTTGAGGCTCTGAGGAACCACCGAGAGAGAACAAGCTCGACAGCCGGTGGCTTGATTTCTTCTTGTCACCCATCATTGTGGACACCTCTAGATGCTGGAGACAGAACAGGCGGAGGAATGAGTGGACGGCTACGTGGGCGCCAGTGGAGATACTACAGTATGCTAATCAAGCGTAGCATGTAGGCTATAGAGCAAGACGAAACAGCAAACAGAACTTTATGCAGGGCTGGGCGGCCGCTGCGGATACATGTACTGGGAAGAAAGAGTTGTCAGACTAGAGCAGGGCCTAAGAATGCTATATTTGATCTCTCAATGCCCGTCGCAGATCCGGTGGGCGGCGTCGCAGACGGCCAAAACTTCGTCATAGCCTTGTCCCAGTCGGAGCTGCGCTAAGCATGGTTGGCCTTTTTCTTTGCCACAACGTGCGCAGCTGCCTGTCACATGTGGCCTTTCACTCTCAGCTAACACTCGATTGGCTTGATGCTCAGCTTTTCGATTCCGTATTTGTAGAACCCTCTGCGGCCGCCCTTTAGCCCCTTCACACGACGATCTTTCCGGGCGGCCATGGACCGTCGCTCTGGGACCTGCACCTCGCTACAGCATGCCATTGAGCCCCGCAAGGGTCGCAGGACCCACGCCGCGGTCATGTTTGCGGTGATTTGACTGACACTTGAATCAACACGTTCTGTTACTGCCAAAAGACTGCGACAGACTCCAGTCCTCAGCGTCAGTAAGCAGTCTGCACGCGCATCCAATACTCTTTGTACGAGCATAAGGCTGAAGCGTCGTGCTACTGTTGCTTTTTATACTCGGCCACCCAACAAGCAAAACGAAGCAGAGGCCGAAGTGGGCAAGCGGCGTGACGTACACGCTTTCGGCCTTAGCAGCAGCTTCTCTGTCAATAGGCAGGGCGCATTCAATTGCGCCATTATGAGCGTTACTCGCATTTCAGAGTCGCTCTCTTCATCTGGCAAATGGCTTCGACAACTCACAACACATTTCCATCTCATCTGATATAAGCTGGACAGCTGAAACAGCACCCGGTGGCAGCGCACTCCTCTACTCATTCTTACCGTAGGCGCCCGACACAGCGCCGCGCACCAGCCACAACGCCCCGTAATCGGTCGTTGACCCGTTCAAAAGCAAGTCGACGCGACACCTGCCCAGCAATCGATAGTCCTCCGTCCAACAAACGATACTCTCCCAGGCAACCGGATTGGCAGCTGCAAGAAGAAGCAGAACCGTGGAAATGACAGCCTTCTCCCCGCACAACATCGCCGGGTCGGCCACCAGCAAAAAGAAGCTAATCAATCTTCTGAGAGGGCACGTCAGCTTCACTCCACACAATACTTGTCAATTGCATCTTCCCTGCACCGTGCTATTAGACCCTCTTTCAATATTACGCGGCCCACTATCCCGGCATCGTTCGCTGCTAACGACGACGACACAGATGGCCGAACCACTCCTTGCTTCCAACGCAGTTGCTTGATAGATCTGCCCATAAAGTGCTCACCAACCACTCTGTTGCGTTCTCTGCCTTGGAGTACGGCCCGGATCACGGAGACCCACGTTTGCGCAAGCATCTTGCGTCGTGGCTGACGACCTTCTTCAAGCCTCAAGATCCTATCACCGACGATCGTATTGGAATTTCGGGAGGAGCTTCGCAGAACCTCGCAGTCTTACTGAACGTGTTTACTGATCCATCATACACTAGAAAGGTATGGTTCGTGGCGCCGGCATATCATCTGTCCTTCCGCGTGATCCAAGACGCTGGATTTCACGACAAGTTCCGCGCTATTCCAGAAGACGAGGAAGGTATAGATATTGAGTACTTCAAAAAAGAGATCAAGAAAGTGGAAGAGAAAGTGGCAAGCCAGGGTATCTCGCAGCCAGTAAGTGGTGCTCATGGGTTTAAGAATGAGTCTCGGCCATAAACTATCCTTGGCCAAGCTTGCATTGCTAGCTTGCCTCGAAGACGAAGCTTCTTGCAAATGCTGACAGTGCGATCAGAAACACAAACCAGTATCACGGCCTTGGGCCAAGGTGTACAAGCATGTCATCTACGCAGTCCCAACATTTTCAAATCCATCGTCTAAGACCATGAGTTTAAGACGGCGTAAGGAGCTGTTACAAGTGGCAAGGGAGTACGATGCGCTCGTCATCACAGATGATGTATACGACTTCCTACAATGGCCGTCTAAGGTTACCTCTGAGTCTGAGACAGTATCAGTAGAGCAAGCCCATCTGCCTAGAATTGTAGACCTCGATCGGTACCTTGACGGCGGTGCCGAAAGGGAAGGCGCCGACGGCTTCGGCAACGCGGTCTCGAACATGAGTTTCTCTAAGATCTCTAGTCCCGGCTTGAGGTGCGGCTGGTGTGAAGGTACACCAAAGTTTGTCTCAGGTGTCGCAGAAGTGTAAGTTTTGACTTTTCCCTACTCACTTGTGTAACGGCACCGCAAGGCTATAGTAGGTTGTCAGCCTTCTGTATTATGCGAAGACCCTGAACATCAGATACGAGGCGCAGTCGGCTCGATCCGAGCTGAGTTAGGGCTGACGATGACCTGTCTCAGCCACACTGGACTTGACGACTAACTTGTACCAGGGGATCAACTCACTCAGGTGGCAACCCTAGCCAGTTCACTTCGAACATCCTAGCTGAAGCCATGGAGGATGGTGAGCTTCAACGTCGCGTAACAGAGCAACTGCAGCCGGCATATGGCAAGCGCTATCGTTCGATGATCAAAGCCATCAACGACCTGTTGGTCCCACTTGGTGTCCGCCTGCCTCAAACCGATCGTGACATCGTTGGTGGTTACTTCATCTGGCTCACTTTGCCGGATGGCATGGAAGGTGGTGCCTTTGTGGAACGTGCTAGGGAAGATGAGAACGTGGTTGTTGCACAGGTACGTACAAACGGAGCCATGGTCATGGGAACAGCTAATAGTAATACACACCTAGGGTGAGCTCTTTGAAGTAAGTATACAATCCACCATCGCGGTTTCCTAGCTCACAAACCCAGATTCCCGGTGATAACGACCATCCACGTACGTCTTTTAAGAACGACATTCGCGTCTGCTTCGCAGTAAGTCTTGCTAGTCTTGTACCCTATCCATCACTTACACGTCCAAAGTGGGAAGATGAGGACGCGCTGATCGAAGGCATCGAACGCCTTGCGACTGTAATTCGCACGATGCAACACGAACAGAACACTACCGGCAGCTACAAGATTCGACTCCAGGTAGAGCAGGAGGCAAAGAACTTCTGGTAAGCGCACCGACCTGCCACACCGGAATCCGTAGCAAGTACAGCGACACGTCGATCGAGCCAACAGGGGAGGGACGCCACTCGCCTTCATTGAAGTTATTCAGCGCGTGTTACGGACAGTCCGACAAAGTTCCAGCCGGTGCCTGATCGCTGCGATAAGTCATTCGAGCCATCACAATTAGCCGCAAGGAACGTTGGTCGATTGCTTATCCCCGCAATACAAGAGCGATATTGGAACTCGTACCTGACGGCTCTATATCATGATTGGACAGATACGAAATAAATATGCTGTTAAGCATAAATGATCTGCGCGGCCCAGCTTCCTCAAATTTATATCGACGCGCCACGCTTGCTATGGAGGGAGCGATCTTGACAGCAAGCGGCACCCCGGACCTGTGAAACATGTTTGTGTTTGCACCTGACCTCATCATCCTTGTCAGGCACCGATTGGTAGACCTTTAGACCCTCAAATTTCAGTATGAATGAGTCTTCCCTATGTCGTGCGCAACGTAGAGAGACACGCAACCTCATTCACATGTCGCACACAGCCATGTGCACAACCTTCAGAGCGCTTTGGTGCGAAAGTGCGGGATGGGAACTCTTATGAGTGATGCGCGAGGTGTGAAGCCACAACCGTTGAGATGTTGGTGCATCTGATGCGGCCGAGTGACACTTGCAGACGCCCTGCTTCAGCGGCGATTCGCAGTACATCCAAGCACGATCTGCCGCGGCCCGCTGCGGTACGAGATGGCCCTTGACTGGCGACCAGCGTTCACAAATTCACCGCTGAAGCGCTCGCAAAGAGCCTATTTGCATGCAGCCACTCAGAGCCAATAGAAGGATTTACGAAGAGAATTCGAAACGTTCTTTCTGTTTCAGGCCTGGTCTCGCTTGTCCGGTTGTGGCTGCTGCACCAACCAAACCCCTGTCGCGCCAGGCACAGGATCGCCAACTTCAGCACCCTCGCGTTCACTGACTAGCCCACGACAGCCTGCTGTTTCACGCGCGTAAGTGAAGTCTGAACAGACAGGTCTTGTATTCCCTGCTAGCAACGACCCTGGGGTAATCTTGACCTGTGGTGCGAGACCACCGGGCCTCCTCATCATGAGGTGGAAGACAGTGACGAGGAGGCATTCAGATCAGAGACAGCGCAAGAGTATGATGATGAGGCGACAGCAAAGCGGTGGTACCATACCGCGGAAGCAGGTATAAAGTGGGTATTATCGGCTAGGCACAACAAGTCGAGCACCGCAGAGCGAAGAAGTTGACCCGTCAAATCGAAACTTGAAACAAGGAGCTCTGACGAACTTGATTGGCGAGGCCCCAACGTTACTATTGTGAGTCCCCTACTTTCAATACTAGGTACTTATACAATGTCGCCCTCCCGTCTTCATCTCTCCACGCAGGCGCATTGTCAGCTCGCAGCATTGTGTTGCTCCAACTTCAATTCTTATTGTTCTTCATCATTCTTTTATTGAAGAGCATCATTCTCATACTCTTCCCTTTTATCGCATTCGTTGCTGAGCAACTCCACCACATACTTATACCCATCTTCTCTACATTCCTGAGCTATCCTCAGATCACTGCCACGCGTCTTTTGCAGGTCAACTGACGCCAAAACTCATAGCCTTCGCGCTCTTTTCGATCTTTTCGACTACACAATAAAAAAACTCACATAGCCATCATGGTGGCTTTCAGCGCTGGTGCGCTCTTATTGGCGCTGCGCGTCCTCATCACCGCCGCTCCTTCCACAGCTGCTCCTGTCGCAGCACCAGTACCACAAGCATCAACTGCGCCGGCCGCAGCTTCCGGTTACTGGTTCGCCAATATCGAGCGTAAAGGTGTCGCTCCTTACAACGCTGACAAGGATGCCTACAAAGTCTTCCGAAATGTAAAGGATTACGGTGCCATTGGTGATGGCACAACCGATGATACTGAGGCCATAAACAAAGCTGTCGCTGATGGTAAGCGTTGCGGCGAGGGCTGCGACTCCTCCACCACCACTCCCGCCATCGTCTACTTCCCCGCTGGTACCTACGCCGTCAGCGCCCCAATCATTCAATATTACTACACTCAGTTCGTTGGTGACATCAACAACCTTCCTACTCTCAAGGCCACTGCTGCTTTCGAGGGTATGGCTGTGGTTGATGCTGACCCGTACATCCCTGGTGGTGATGGTGCCAACTGGTACACCAACCAGAACAACTTCTACCGTCAGATCCGCAACTTCGTCATCGACATCTCTGCAGCCAAAGCCACTGCTGGTATCCACTGGCAAGTCTCCCAGGCTACCTCTCTCCAGAACATCCGTTTCGAGATGGCCAAAGGCGATGCTGGCAAGGACCAAAAGGGTATCTTCCAGGACAATGGCTCCGGTGGTTTCATGACTGACCTCACCTTCAACGGTGGTGGTATCGGCGCTTTCCTCGGCTCGCAGCAGTTCACCAGTCGCAACATGACCTTCAACGACTGCGGCACTGCCATATACATGAATTGGAATTGGCTCTGGACCATGAAGAGCATCTTCATCAACAACTGCAAGGTCGGTCTCGACATGGCCAACAGCCCCTCTAACCAGACCGTTGGCTCTGTCCTCATGCTTGACAGCAAGCTTGTCAACACTCCCATCGGTGTCAACACTTCCTTCACTCAGGACAGCATCCCTACCACTGGTGGCACCCTCATCCTCGAGAACGTTGACTTCACTGGCTCTGAGTCAGCTGTTGTTGGCGCTACTGGCAACGTCCTCGTCAAGGGTGGCAGCAAGGTCGAGGCCTGGGCTCAGGGTAACGCTATGGCTGCTGGCTCCACTCAAGGTCGTGTCCAGGGTGACATTAACAACGGCCCCGAGAAGCCTTCGGTCCTGCAGGGCGAGAATGGCTGGTTCGAGCGCAGCAAGCCCCAGTACGGCGATGTTGATGTCTCAAAGTTTGTCAGCCTCAAGTCTAAGGGTGCCAAGGGCGATGGCTCTACCGATGACACTGCCGCTATCCAGGCTGCTATTGATGGTCTCCAGGATGGCGAGATCCTTTACGTCGATCACGGTGCCTACCTTATCACCAAGACCGTTGTCATTCCTGCCGAGAAGAACGTCAAGATTCAGGGTGAGGTCTATCCCATGTTCTTCATCACTGGCGAATTCTTCAGCAACATGGACGACCCTAAGCCCGGTTTCCAAGTCGGCGCCAAGTCCGGTGATAATGGTACTTTTGAGATGAATGACGCTATCATCGGTACCCAGGGTCCCGCTCCCGGTGGTATTTTGATGGAGTGGAACATTAACGCCGAAGCTGGCAAGGCTGGTCTCTGGGACGTTCACTTCCGTGTTGGTGGTTACGAAGGCACCAAGCTCCAATCTTCCAACTGCGCAAAGAACCCCAACGCCACCCACGACGCGAACTCTGAATGCATAGGTTCCTTCATGCAGCTCCACATCACTAAATCGTCCAGCGGTTACTTCGAGAACGTCTGGCTGTGGACTGCTGATCACGAGCTTGACCAGGCCGACCATGGTCAGATCGACATCTACAACGGTCGTGGTATGATCGTCGAGTCCCAGGGTCCTGTCTGGCTAGTCGGCACCGCTTCTGAGCACTCTCAGATGTCTCAGTACCACTTCCAGGGCGCAAAGGATATCTGGTACGGCGCCATCCAGACAGAGACGCCTTACTACCAGCCCAACCCCAAGGCCGACGTACCCTTCACCAAGAACGACAAGTACTTTGACCCCGATTTCGCCGAGGGTTCCACGTCTGCCTGGGCTGTCCGTGTCATCGACAGCTCCAGCATTTGGAACTACGGTGCTGGTACCTACTCCTTCTTCAGCAACTACGACCAGGAGTGCGTCTCTAGCCAGAGCTGCCAGGAGCACATTAACGAGATCACAAACTCTTCTAACGTCAACTGGTTCGGTCTGTCGACCAAGGCTTCCGTCAACATGATCACCTCCAACGGCAAGGGTCTTCTCAAGGATGCCGACAACCGCAGCAACTTCTGCGCTACACTGGCTATCTTTGCGCAGCCATAGAGTGAGGTCGGGCTTGATGTTGCATGAGTAGTTGTTCATTTCTTTCCCATTACGATGGGCCTTGTTTGAGCACAGATATCTCGTCTGTGCACTTTCACCATTCGCTACGAGCGATAAACTGGCACGATAGCGATGGATAGCTGAACATATCTTATACCCTGGGCTGGAGTTTGAATTAAGCATATATAGATGATCTAAATTGATCTGCGTTCTGAACACAAAAACCCTTCCATTCAGTGGCCCACAATGATTTCGTGATGATGAGGACCTTCTCCATATGAGGAGGGGAAGGTCTACGCGAAGCCGTGCGCGAAAAACTTCCCCGCTAAAGCTCACAACTCGCGCTCTCCAGAAACTATACGTCCACCGTCCAATCCTCTCGCCTCACCTCTCTACACAATTGAACATGTCAGACGACCGCGAGACCAATGCGCGACCCGCAAAGCGCGCGCGCCTCGACGACAGCGCCGCCCACACTCCCTCCACCGCCGTCACACCTCAAGCCACGCCTGGCTCTGCCCTCAATGCGCCTTCACAAATCGAGACCGACTACGACCGCGAAGTCCGCGCGGGAATCGCAGAATATATTTGTCCCAATAACCTAGGCTTCACCGGCGTGTTGAAGCAGAGGTACACGGATTTCTTGGTCAACGAGATTGGGCTCAATGGTCAGGTGCTGCATTTGAAAAGCACGCAAGTCGAGAAGAAGAAGAAGAAGGATGTGAGGGCTGAGGCGCCGGCAGAGAGTGAGGAGGTTAAGCCAGAGGAGAAGATTGAGATCAGGGAGGAGTATGGTGCAAATGCTGCGCCTGCTGCCCCGAAGGAAGAGAAGCCTGTGGAAGCTGAACCAGCAGCTAAGGCAGAGGAGACGAACGACGGGGAGGAGACATTTGCGATTGCTGACGCGCCGAAGAAGGAGGTCAAGGAAGAGGTATGCCTGCCCCAAACTTCGAGCTGGGTGTTGTACTGACAATTAGCAGCTTTCCGAGGAGGATACCAAATTACTTTACTCGATCTTTGGCGAAGACACAACGAAACAGATCGTAGCGCTTGTGCAGAGCATACGGAATCGCGAAGAAGCGAAGGCGAGAACCTTCAAAGCCGTCACGTCAGCACCCATCCTCGACAAAGAGACACGCACGAACGCGCACAAATCACTCCGTCGCATGTTCCCAAATCTCCTCGAAACATCAATGGAGAGCGACCAGTCGATACGAATCAAGGCAAACCCTCCAGCAGAGCGCAAAAGCAAAGGTGGGAGGGGAGACAAAGCCAATGGAGACCAGGGCAAGCACAGAGGTGGTCAATTGGCCTGGGAAGAGCTCGGTGGAGAATACCTGCACTTCTCGTTGTATAAAGAGAACAAAGACACAATGGAGGTTGTTGGCTTCCTTGGGAGCAAGCTCAACAGTGGTGCGAAAGCGTTCGCTTTTGCAGGCACCAAGGACAGGCGCGCCTGTACTGTTCAGCGACTGTGCGTCAAGCGTCAGACTGCTGAACGTATCGCAGGATTCAACAGGTCGCTGTTCAATGCAGCGGTTGGTGATTTCGAGTACCGTAAAAACGACTTGAAGCTGGGTGATTTGATGGGCAATGAATTCACCATCACGCTTCGAGATTGCAAGTTCCAGAATGAGGAGGGCATGAATGCTATACAGAGACAAGCGTTCGCAAACGATGTGGTCGGCAAGGCCATTAGGGACTTCTCAGAGAAGGGGTTCATCAACTATTATGGCCTCCAGCGCTTTGGGTCTTTCGCAGCTAGTACAGACCAGGTTGGTCGCAAGATGCTGCAGGATGACCTGAAGGGCGCCGTGGACGACCTTTTGAACTACAGCGAGGTAGCACTCGCCGCAGCAGAGGGCACAAGCAACTCCAACATCCTCGTCTCCCAAGACGACCGCAACCGCGCGAAAGCCCTCCACCTCTGGAGAACCGAAGGAAAAGGCCCCGCAGCCCTGGAACTCCTTCCCCGCAAGTTCACCGCCGAACGAAACATCATTCAGCATCTCAGCTCCCGCAACAGCAAGTCTGGCCGCCATGACCGCAAAGCAGACTGGCAAGGCGCACTGATGACCATCCCCCGCACCCTCCGTCTCATGTACGTCCACGCCTACCAATCGCTCGTCTGGAATGTCGTAGCCGGCAAGCGCTGGGCCACACACGGCGACAAAGTCGTAGCAGGCGACCTCGTCCTAGTCAACGAACACCTCGACAAGACCGGCAACGCCTCATCTACGGCCAACACCGCCATCGACCAAGACGGCGAATTCATCATCAACCCCTCTGGCACCGAAAACGCAAACGCCGTAGCCGAAGACTTTGAGCGCGCTCGCGCACTCACTAATACCGAAGCTGAAAGCGGGCAGTATACCGTCTACGACGTCGTGCTGCCACAGCCTGGCTTCGATGTCGAGTACCCCAAGAACTCAATCGGCGAGTTCTACAAAGAGTTTATGGGCAGTGAGCGCGGCGGCGGTCTGGATCCACACAACATGCGCCGCTCCTGGCGCGAAGTCAGTCTGAGCGGCGGGTACAGGAAGTTCCTGGCCAAGCCGCTGAGGCCGTTGGAGTTTGAGGTGCACAGCTATACGAAGGAGGATCAGCAGTTCGTGGAGACGGATTTGGATAAGATTAAGAAGGCGAGGGGGGGCGCGAAGGAGGGTGAAAGGGAGAGTGGGGATGTGACGATGGAGGAGGGTGAAGAAGAGGAGAAGAAGATTGCGGTTGTTGTTAAGCTTCAACTGGGAAGCAGTCAATATGCGACTATGGCGCTGAGGGAGCTGATGAAGGCTGGTGGTGTTAAGGCGTACAAACCGGAGTTTATGGGCGGGCGCTAGGTAAGTACGACACATCCTTCTAGAAGGCCCCTGCCGAGTACACCACACCAAACTCAAATCAAAGCAATATTGGCCTCTACTATGTTTGGATTCAGCCTGATCCGCGGAGGTCCCCTACAAGCCAAGGCTGAGAGGCGGGGACCGCAGCTGAGCCTGGTCAACCTGTCGACAAAATCCTCGCAACTCTTCCCCGTTGTTCAATCGTCCAGGTGACATCATTCACACCAGTGCTCTCAAACACTCGAGTACCCTCTGTTGATCTAGCGCATCCCTCCAGCTCTGAACTTCTGCGCGGTACTCTTGATCAGTCTCGCCTGATATTGCAGCACGCGCAAGGACTCTACAACTTGATCGCTGTAAGACAGGGTAAGTAAAACGGAAATGACGAAGCCCTTGGCGAAGTGTGCGAGTGCTAATATATGTCGTAAGTTACCATCGCTGCCAATTGGTACAACACCCGCGCAGAGAACCACGGCTACTCCTCTTTTGCCTCTCGACTGCCTTCAGCCTGACCACCGAAGACTACGCAAGGCCCCAGAGCAACATGTGGGAAAAGGTCAAGAAACACATCAAGGGTTCCGAGAGGAAACGCATCGAGGAACAAGTGCTACGAGCGGACTACTCATCGGAAGAAGATACGTCAAACTTGCCTGGAGGACTGGACGACAAGGCCAAAGACCGCAGGAGCGAGTTCAGCAACAATGACACTACTGGAGGAGCGGGGATTTTGAACCAGCGGCTTCCGAGACTCAGCGTACATGCCAATTTGAGCCTGAAGAGGGTGTACGATTCGAAGAAAGCACGGGCTGACATAGTATTCGTTCATGGTCTGACTAGAAACTCACACTCCACGTGGTACAGCAAGAAGGCCAAAGTACATTGGCCGAGCGACCTGCTGAAGGAAGATATGCCTGATTGCCGCACATACATGTTTGGCTACGATGCAGACATCGGTACTTTCCGAGGAGGAACAGGGGTTTCACAGAATCGACTCGCGGATCATGGCGGGGACCTGGCGGGCGATCTTGCAAGGGAAAGAGGGGCTACTAAAACAGTAAGAATCGACCAGTCCAACAATGAAGAGCGCTCTCATCAGGTTTTCCACATTCATTCAATCTATACCCAGGCTACTACAGTGGCGATATGGCTCGGTGAAGTGTCTGAAGGCATCGAACTTGCATCAAGATTCTTTGACCGACCTTGTCAACCTGACTACACGTTTCCCATTGAGTCGGTTTTTGGAAATGTTGTACTGTCGTTGCTCAGTCGCACCAAGAAGTTGCATGTGCTCAGCTATCTCAGGACTGAGCATCAACCAAACTTCGCCTTACCATCCTTTGTGCCAGATTGGACAATGGACTCGAGCGTTTCGAATCACGTGGATCGAGAGAAACAGGATTACCTGACTGTTCACTTGAACTTATACAATGCCTGTTTTGGAAGGGAAGGTCGATTTGCAAGATGGCTACTTTGCCGTTGTCGATGATGCCTACGTACGTGGGATCATGGACGGTGAAGCGCTGGAATCTGCAGATGATCTTGACTATCCAGAACTGCGCTAGAGTCTGAGAGAATCTGAGGTGCTCTAATATGTGACCGAAATTGACGTGATCAAAAGTATCTCCACAAGACTTCCTCGTTCACGGCCCACTCGCACAAAGAGGGTGTCTGTTTTCCCAAGGATAGAGACCTATACCGCTTATGGATCTAGAAACGGGACGGGTATGTTTCTCTCTTTGTACCCATACCATTTCGGCAGCGTTCTCTTTGGCAAGCCCTCAGTGCTGAGCTGCAGATCTTCAATCGCACTAGCCCACTTCAGCAACGTGCCTTCATCCCATGCGGTGCCCATCAGCGCTAAACCAAACGGCATGCCCGACTTCGAATGCACACCAGCCGGAATCGTAATAACAGGATACCCAGCCTGGGCTGAGAGCTGATACGACTGACCAACATCTGAGGGAACAAGCAACGCATCAACAGGCCGTCCGTTGTTTGCGAGAGCTGCATCGATACCATCTTCACGCGTGGCTTTTTGTGTGAATGTGAGAGCCTGGTAGTATATCTCATCCATAACCCCCCTTGTCTCCAGTGAAGCGAGAAAGCCGTCTTGGCCAGAGTAGAATGCTGGAACGCCTCGTGGCCAGGGATACCCGCCTTCGGTCCTGTCGTTAGCATAGTTGTAGGCTACAATGTCTTCTAAGGAGCGAATGTTCGTGTTCTCAAGCTCAGAGAGGTATGCTTTGATGTTGTTGTAGAAGTCAACCTTGACAACAGTGTACTCTGATTCGTTAGGGTAGCCGCGTGTGGTTCCGAAGTCCCAATTCCAGCCATCGGGTGACACGGTTAGCTCGCGGTTGGGTATCTCGGTATTGTTGATTACAGTTGCTCCTGAAGCCTTGATCGCTGAAATGATGGAAAAGAGTTGTGTTTGCTGTTCTTCGTCCGCGTAGATCCAGAAGCTGTCCCATGGGATCCCGAACGTCGCATTCTGTAGGGCAGACTTGTTTGTTAGATATTGCAAATAGCCGCTAGGTGGAGTCTTGCCCTCCTGAGCAAGGGTGTAGTTGTCCCGGGTATCGATACCATGGATAGCATCGAAAGCATATGCGGCGTCGCGAACTGTTCGGCCGAACGTGCCTACGCTATCTTGATGAACACTCTCAGGCACAACTCCGGCCCGTGAAGTCAGTCCCACTGTTGGCTTGATCCCGACTAATGCATTCCTCTCTGCAGGGTTGATGACGCTTCCATCTGTTTCTGTGCCCAGAGAAAACGGTACAATGTTCGCGGCCACAGCTGCTGCACTGCCCGAGCTGCTTCCACCGGGGTTCAGCGTGAGGTTATACGCGCTTCTTGTTTGACCTCCTCTTGGTGAATACCCTTCCGAATAATTGTTCGATCGCATGTCAGCCCACTCTGACAGAGTTGCCTTGCCCACCAAAAGTGCACCTGCTTGTCGTAGCTTTGCGACCACGTGGGCGTCCCTTGGCACAACGCTCCCTAACAGCACCCAGCTCCCGCATGTTGTTTCCATCTGATCCTTCGTTGCAATGTTGTCTTTGACGATGAACGGTATGCCGTGCAGTGGTCCGCGCACATGACCTGCCGCTCGCTCGGCGTCCAATGCAGCAGCAATATCTTCAGCATCTGGATTGAGCTCGATAATGGAATTGATATACTCATCGACTTGTTGGACCCTTCTCAGGTAGCATCGAAGAAGTTGCGCAGAAGTAAGTAATCCATTGCTCATGTAGCCCGATAGCTGATCTATGGTCGCTTCTTCGAGCGTAATCCCTTGACAAGTGGGCATCGGAAACAAGGCCGGAGTACCTGCTGCATCTTGAGGCGGAAAGTGGTACGGATACGGTTGTTGGAGTGGGTCAACGTTGAGGATGTTCGACGCATTATACTGCGCGAGTGCGCCAAATGCAAGGGTTAGAATGGTGATGTCGGCAGTCTTTCGATACATCGTATCGAGCAGGTCGAGGAAGTGAGATGAATACAGAAGGGTCGCAATGACGGCGACTGCGATCGTACTTGTACCTGCATGCATGTATGCAGCTCAACGCATGCCTGATCGAACCAATGCTGCATTTGGGGGCTGAACCTTGCAATCTAGTCTACCGCACTTCAGGCGGGCCTGATAAGCAGGAGGACAAAGTCCATTAAGGGAAGGAACATGAGGTGCAGGTTACTGAGCATCTCAAGAAAGGCCTGAATATCGATCTTGAGGCGTGATGATGAATGACGAAAGCGCGAGGCTGAGGTTGGAGCGTCGCTTCTGTGGTGCGACTGAAGCCTTCCCGAACAAAAAAGTGGGTCCGCCAGCCTCATTCGCTCCTTTCCGTAGGATTATCATCCTTCCAACAACACCATCGTGGTTCGGCACAGCAAGTCCACACATATGTGTCGCCATGTGTGCGCGGAGGTACCATCGCAAGTCGAAATCAGGTTGCACCAACTGCAGGCAACGAAGAATCAAGGTATGCCGACCCCCACGCCTGGATTCATATCGTGTCTACGATGCGAGCGTTTGCACGTGAGGATGATACTCAACAATTGAGTGAATGCTAACAGGCTCAAGTAGTGTGACGAAGCACAAGGCGGCTGCATGAATTGTCAGAAGCGCAACTACATATGTAGTCTCCGTACCTTCGACGCAGCAGTATGCCCAACTACAAAGCATGTTCAAAACCTGCATCAGCAGCCCAACGCTCTTCTACTATCACCAACAGAACCTCACTTTACGAATGTGCTTCTACAACAAGATATTTTGAGTCGGCTACCCAAGTCGATCCGCCCTTATGCTGCTACGCTTCTTCATCACTTTTCGAGCAATACTGTCACAACAATGGGTTTCGGTACAACACCTCAGCAAGCATGGTGTACAGCAATACCAGACATGGCACTAAAGCATGACTTCGTGATTCACGGGGTTCTGGCTATTGCAGCTCTGCATCTATCAACGACCTTAGATTCTGCGGATGCAAGAGAAGGATATCAGAACATGGCAGCGCTGGAGCTAAATGCAGGTCTGATGCGATATATGAATGAAGTCCGAAAAGTTACCAGCGACAACGTTGAAGCTCTATTTGCTTTTTCCACTGCGATATCATTGTTCAATACTTTCCAGGCCAGGAATGAGTGTCGCAGCCTTGTCGGGTCGAAGCACGCGGATCCTTACACTCCTTTATCGGCGCACATGACGGTCTCCGAAGCAGTACAAATCGTATGCCGCGCTCTACGGACTTTACGAGGAGCTCAACTGATCTTAGTGCCTGGCTGGAGCAAACTCCAAGATGGTCCCCTGCGTTCCGTGGTGCGGCGCGAGTCGTGGTCTGCTGCCATCCCAGTCACAAACGCACATCTCGACGAGGAAAAACGTTTGAGGATCTTAGAGTCAATGTGGTCAAACACCCATCGATCCTACGAAGATCACTTCGATACACTTCGGCAGACCTGGCAGAGTCTATGCGGATCCTTTGCGATAGTCTGGAGCTTATTAGATACCGCTCCTTCGAGCCACTCATCCTCTGGGCCGTCCTTCGATTGGACATCGATATTTCATTTCTCAGTCCAATGCTCTCTTGCATTCGCAAGTCTACTTGAGCAGCAGTGCATCGAAGCTTGGGTACTTGTGGCTCACTATGGAATCTTGCACGCAGAAGTGGAAGGGTTGTGGTGGCTTGATGGATCGGCTGCCAACTTGGTAGCAACAGCAGCTTTGGTAATTGGAACTAACAACTGGAAATGGATCGCCTGGCCAGCCGCCAGAGTTGGCACCGATCTGGAGAGCTTACGATCTATGGCTCTTGTCCGTCCCAAGGTCTGTTCATGAGATCTGTCGGCTATAAGAGCGAACGACTCATTCATAAAACAAAGTCTGCGTCGGGAACGCCGCAACCTTGGAGAAGCCAAAATCTCGTGCGCATCATAGCCTCCAAGTAGCGATAACAACCACGGAACGCACTCAGCGTCGCAAGCAAGACTGTTCGTAGCGACTGACATCCCATTTGGACCATAACCGTGCCTTCCGGTAACGCCAAGAGTCATAAATTCATTACAGATCGCCAGTACTTTTACTGCAGATGCTCGCGGTTCTGTGGCTCGTGGCTCGTCGTTGGGATAATGTCGACATATTCGTTCGAAACATGGTTTCCATCGCCCTTCGACACTGTCCTCACCCATACGTAGCGTTGCTCGCACTGCGCTCATGTCAGCATACCGTCCGTACATCCAGCGCGTGACTCCACATACTTCGCACTCTTCCCCTCATGCGGCAGGTTACTTCGACCCGACGAGTCGTACTGTTGTCTCTGAACGTAGTAATTTGGAAGCTTGCTCCACGTCCTCTCCCGAACCTCCCTCATATACCGGTCCTGCTCCACGGAGCGGTTCATATAACTGGTATCCTGCGCCTCATCCCCACCCCAGAAGCGCATCACTGCGAAACCGCACACAACGAGCGCGCCAGCACCAAGGATGACGAGGAAGATGATGAGCGCCGGGGCGACCTGGAAGCCCATGTTGTCTCTTTTGTCGAGGTACATGTTTGCGGTGGTGTGACTGCGTCACTGTCGGCAGCAGTATATGATGGTAGGAGTTGGATATCACAATTGTGAAGTGGTCGCAGTCGAGTGTAAGGTCACAAACCACCCCTATCACTCTGGGTGTTGACGCTCGTATAAGTGCGGGACGTCCGGAAGTGGTGTCGTTCGCTTCTCCAATGGTGGTCAGCTTCGGGCTTACGGTTGCAGGCGCGGGCACACTCGATGGCAGCCTTGGGTTCGATATCCGGCAGCACGGGAATAGGTCGCACAAAAAACAACAACTTGGGCAAACCCAGCAACAATAAAGTTACCAAACATGCAGCGCAGCCTTTTATGAACCACTCTGCATCCCTCACATGCCAACGTTTGTCCTGACGTTTCGTGTCACGACGACTTTACGATCACTGGCTTCAGGGCCTTCACAGCCGCATCCCATTGGTCACCTCACTCACAAAACATCACAAACCACGTGTACCAAGATCTTCAAGACCCCGATGTCTGCGCAAACCCACTTTTCGAGCAGAAACAGCATTCTTTAGTGTCACGTACGCGTAACGTACTTTCTCGGGCGCGTTGCTGTTTGGTGGTTGCGGGTGGGTGTTGGTTGCGGATAGTCCGGCGTGGCTATGCTGACGAATACGGGTGCGCTGAACACGGGGAACGGGAACGTGCTGCTTGTCCCGGGCTTGGAGTGCATGTGTATGTCTTGGGGAATTTAGTCATTTGTTTCAGGCGCGGTGTGTGCCTTGGGGTGTGGAGCTGTTTATTACATCGCTTCTTGCGCAGACATTGTGGCTGTTGTGACTGTTGTGAAGTGGTTGTAGTGATGGTGAGCCGTTCAACTGCTTACGTGTCCCCTCCCAGCCCGCGCTCGTCAGCAAACACGAACTTCATATGTATGTCTTGCCGAATTAAGATCAGCCACTTTGATCCTTCGCACGTTCAAGCGTGTTAATCGCGGTTCTTGGGATCTGAAACGGTCTAAGTCCGGCTGTTCCATCACATGTCGTTCAGCACGGATCGTTGGGTTTGGGGCAAGGTGCATGGCAGTTTGGCAGACGTACTGACCCACATATATCTAAGGAGAAGACAGAGCTCTTGCTGTCGATCAGTGACAATCTTGATGTATGCTTTGCGCATTTTACTTATATATGCGTTTAAGATCTTGATCGCTACAGTGCTGCAGTTCATTTCGCTGCTCGAGCAGATGCAATATCTGAAGAGACTGATGTGCATCCTGCCTCAAGGATATAGCTGAACTTGTCAGTGAAGCCAGGACAATGACTTCCTTAGAAACTTACGAGGTTTGCAAGCCAGAGGACCACAGCAACACCGCCCACTCTCGCTAGCATCTTCCTGCGCGCACCTTGCTGGGCACGGCGATGGCTCTCTACTTCATCCGCCACGTCACCATCTGGACGGTGCCATCCAGGCAATTCTATAACGTCCTCGTTCGCAGCTCTTCCACTTTGCTCTCGATCTACAGTCGCGCTCTGACCATACAACAGCCATGTGGTTGTCACTTTCGTAGCCTCATGCACCTTCCACGCCAACCACACGAAGACCGGAGTCAAGACGACTAGATCGCGCCACTTGTCACCCAGGAATGTACCGCTGCCATACCGAAATCCCACACGGAGAATACCTTTGTTGTCGCCAGCGAGCCATATGTGCTGGGAGAGCAGATACAACTCGAGAGATATGCGGCCGAGCCAAGCAAACGATGCGCAATACCGCGCTCGTAAAAAGCCAGTCGCGTTACGAAGGATCACGAAGGAGAGAGCGGGGAGCCAGGCAATGTATGGCATCCACCAGTCGTAGTCGCCTTTGGTCTCTGACCGTCGCGTCTTGACCCAGAATGTGGGAATGGTGATGATTGCGAGTGCAACGAGCACAGTCTGGTGAAGGATGTAGTATCGCTTGACGATAAAGCCTGCGAGACCCAGTTGTTTATACGGGGTTCGAAGCACCGAACGAACTCTGACGTGGAGTGCCGCAACGATGATCCCGATGAAGATGACGTTCTTGTCCACGCCGAGGTGGAAACGCAGGTCGTTTACATCAATTTTTGCTCGAAGGACAATGCTGAAGAATGAAGCCCACATCTCGAGGATGCCTTGAGCATGGATGAACATTGTTGTGAGCAGCGCCACAAGTGCGACCTTGACGAGTAGCAGCCCGAAACAGTCGTTCCAAGGCTGGCCGATCCTGAGGGTCAGAAACATGACAAGAAACCAGAAGGTCACCAGCGGCGCGAAATGGTATGAGGTATACGGCCTGTCCACTGCAAGTGCAAGCAGGGCAGGCAGCGTGTTGAGGCGCAATAAAACGCCCAGGATACGCTGGACAGAGAAATCGTTCGTCCGCAGGAAGTAAGTCGCATGGCCGTAACCGGAAAGGAAGAGGTAAAGTGCAATGAAGACACGGAACACCTCATAGAAGTCCATGACGTTAGCAGCGCCTGTGTATGCGTACACCAGGACATAAATCTGCATCCACCCCTTGAACTCATCAGACTGTTCCCGTGGGAGGAAGGGTACTGATCGAACAGTCTTTTCTGGTGAACGTTTCCAGCTCTTGGTAATGGTCGATGAAATGCTCTGAACGTGGAGAAGGCATACCAAGACAGCAACGCCTAGCATTACCCGGAAGTCGATATTAGCGAACTCCTTCGGGATCTTGTCGAAGACGTGGGTTCTATCGGTGATGAAGCAATACACTGCAGCAAGCATGAAGACGGCAAGCGCATCAGTCAATACGACTATTGTGGGCCTCTGATCTGGGCTGCGGATGAAACGACTGAAGGCTGTCAAGGTAACGAGAGGTACGAAAAGGATGGTCGCGAGGATCTGAACCCAGTTGGCTGGCCTATAAGCGCTGCAACAAGTCCTGCTAAACGGATAGCCATTCTTCTGCGCAGCTTTTGCATTGCATCGATAGTTGAGCACGACGTCTGCCATTTGAGTTGCAACACGATCTGTAACATGCAGACCACTCTCGCTGACCATCTGGGGCCAATCCGCGGTCATGTCTCGGTAGACCCAGGGCACGTTGAGCCCTCGATTAGACCACAGCTGCAGATGGTCGTTCATAGCCCATATCTTGCTCTGCGTGATGGTAACTTCACGAGACGGACTTAATCGGTCGACCATCGGATCCAGAACCGGCGTAAAGAAGATCTGGTCGTCCACTCCATCGGTGCCATGCGCTCGTATGTTTGCTGGTGACGTGAGTCGATCATGCGTGGTGGACATGACTGCTGCGACACGATCCACCACGTGGTTGAAAGCTAGAAGATAGTCATCACCCAGATGCCGAGCATGCCAAAGCCCACCACCGATGAAGAGCAGCACCGACCTCCTCTTGCCGTCGCTCGGCTGCAGTTTCTTATCTTCCAGGCTGTTGTCCGGTTTGTTCCTGTCCATGTAGGCCTTCAACTCTCCCCTGAACCCAGTGCTGTTCAGGAATGGGTCCCACAGGAAGCTTAACCTTGCGCCATCTTTCTCTAGGTGTAAGTCTTCATGCTTGTCCAGCTCTTGCTGTCTGTCACCCACCCAGCCACTATCCAGCTTCTTCGCTGCGGCCCAGAACACTTGTCGCACCGTCGTGTCGCCGACAAACAGTATCTGGCCATCCTCGTTGCAATCGGCGATCTCGGACGTCGTGTAGTCGTGTAAGAGGCAACCTGGTACTTGCCAATTCTGGAAGGGCTTGCGTTCGGGGCTGCGGTCGGGCGAGTCGAGCCATTGGCCTTGGTGGAGCAACCTTGAGCAGTGGTATAGGTCGGCCTTGTCTGTACAAGTGTGAGCTGTGGAGGGGCGTAGGCGGTGCGAGAAGCCGTACCATGGACCAGTCGTCGATACACATTTGTGCAAACAACAATTAGCACAAGCAGCAGCGCAACCCTACTGCACGCATTCTGCAAGCTCGCAGGCCTCACCAGCCTAAATTTCAGCATGCTTATCGCTCATATGACCTGTGTAGCACCGAAACTCCCCACAGTCGTCCTGTCAAGGCCGTTGTCAAGGCCGTCGTGGTGTTGAAAGTGGTCGCGTGCCCTTCGCAGAGCAAACAGCACAGAAGACATGTTAGGCGAAAGAGGCAGGGCAAGCTGCAGGGGTACAGTGGAGTATCCATGCTGCCTGCGTCTCCACATGTGCGCTGCTTGCTTTGTCTATGGGCGTCACTTCCACGTTGAAGGTGCTGCTGCTTTCCGGCTGGCCAAGGTGACGCGTTGTGGGACGTGCAATCTGTGGAGCGCGTCACAGGGGGGACGTAACGATAAGCGGGCCATCGCCGCAAAGATGAACGTCTTACAAGACACCAGACATAGCGTGAATTACAATCCCATGGAGAGGTATAAATGGGTTAAGGCACGATGTACCTGAATCGTACCAAGCATGATGCTGGATACGAACGTGCCGCGGGCCGACGCGGCGCGTCAAGAACAAACGCCCTTGCATGCCCTAGCTCGTTCGTATTCCCAAGCAAAAGTAACTGGTAAGGCTGAACAACACTGCAGATCGATTGGAAACCAGAAGACTTCCTGGTCCAAAGGAGATATACTGACATGGCTCAGGCCCTAGTTGGGTTATATCAACCCAGCTAAAGGCTCAGCCGATGTTCACTGAAATCGCTGATCTCCCGTAGCTGTCACGATGAGATAAGATTAAGATAAGATTATATTCTAATGTCGGTAAAGTAACTTGTATTCTTGGCAGTTCACTCTACCTCTCTTATGCTACGGGCATCAACACTAGGTAGAATGTAAGGCTAGATTCACGCAATTCAGCCAACGGGTAGCAACAACTCTTCACCAGTCATAGAACACCTCGTTGTAGCCCCGACCCACTCCAGGCTCGTATATCAGTCCTGCCCACGCGCATATCGCTCCAACATTCTCAAGCTACCCTATCCATACACCCCAACCACTGTACATACACATGATCATCAAAGTCTTTCCGAGGACACGCTCATTCCATCTCTTAACACTCTTAGTCCACCTTACAACACGTACCTAAAGTACCTACTCTCCTTATTCGTCAAGTCCATGAACGCTACCTTATCTCTTATCCTCATCGACCGGCAGACCCTCTCTCTTCTTTTTCTCCCTCGACAGCAACACACACAGCGCCACTGCGGCCACAGTCGTAATACAATAGCAGATAATCAGCCTGGACTACAGTTCCGGGTAATGCTGGGCCTTAGTCTGACTTTTGATAAGCTGCGGCCCAACGATATTGCCCACACAATACGCCACAAAGATAGCTGCGGCCATGGCGCTTTTCTTCGTTGCGCCAGCCACGTTGGACATGCCGATGACGATGGTTTGACTGACGACCGCGCCGAATGTGCCGATGATGGAGTACCCTGCTACGGGCGTGGCGGCGTGGTATGTCCATCTTCGAAGCGTGAGAGGGTTGAGATAGCCGGGCACTCGCGCTAGAGATCAAATCCAGTTAGTGCTTGATGATGTAATCTGTGAATCCGAGAAAACTTTGTTGCGAGCTGCGTGGCTTGAGTGCTATCATCAACAAGTTGATAACATGTAATGTCAAACTTCGCTGCCACCGAAATGAGAGGGTGACTTCTGAAGTTTGTCAGACACGTATACTGTAGGCCGGTCTCTTGCCTCGCTCGATCTGCTGCTGTATCTGCAGACCTTGAGCTGGATGCACTTTTGCTTCTACACGAAGTGACTGTTGTACGAGACAAGAACAACACCGCGACGATCTTTGAGTGCGGAGCCGCCTGATCCATGTGTCGGACTTCGCAATTTATCCGTCGAGACATACCTTGTGTTCGCCCTGATCCGCTTGTGTGTAGGGACTCACGTTCTTATCGAAGTCTTGCAGATTTGCGTGAACATAGGAATGTGTGTATTGACAAAGTATCGTGCTTTCAGACAGGTTGTCGCTCTTTGTGAGACCCATAACGCCGTCTTGCCCAAAGCACCAAAATGAGATATCTGCCGTGGAGGTGCAATCCTTTCAACCCAACCAGTCAAGTCCCAATGCCAATCGTGCAACAGCGTCTCAATGCTCGCTCGCTTCAAACGCCAACAGCTCGAGCCAAAGTCGTAGCTTCAAAAACGCGAACCCCGTATGTACATTGCGACGTCTCTCATACCTGGTGGAGAGGAGATATGCTAAGAGATGGGGTATAGTTAGATCCATGAAAACAGGAAACAGTATTATTGGAAAATACAATGATGATATTTCATCGCCGACCTCCCCGATGTGTGCGAGACGTCTCAGTAGCACTTCGCACACGGATCGTGGGCTGTCGAAGTTGGGGCGCGTTGGCAACCGCAGCGTCGTAGCTGGGTAGGGGCCGCTCAGACTCCGGCTCTTGTTGTTGGTTCTGCAAGAGCGAGGCTTGCTCGCGTTCTTCCCAGTAGTCGCGCATGTGTTGGCCGGCTTCAAGGTTTGGTGACCCAACAGGGCTGGTGTACTCTGGTGGAAGCTCTCCAGGCTGTAGAAATCCGAGTCCGCGAGCAGTCTCGTGAGCCATATCGTGTGTGTTGCTAGCCTCTGCGCTGGGCCCTTCGCCAATGTCTTCATTGGAGTCCACGAGGCTGAAAGCTGCCAGGGAGATGTCAGTGGGGCTGCGTTGAGGACCAGGGCTTGTGGGTTGATTACGTCCAAGACGCACTTGCTGGCCACTAGATCGTGCATGTCCATAACCTGCAGAAATGTAATTGCCAGCCATGCCCTCTCTGATTCCTTCGCGACCAGAGTCCAAAAGAATCGATCCTTGTTCGCTGCCGTACGGTGGTGGAGGAGCCAAGCTGCCAGTTTGCGGAGCAAGACCCCATTTCTTCACGTTGGCTTCGATGAAGACGAATCCCATCTGTCCGAAGTTTACATGCACCTGGCAAGGTCCTTGAGCGCCAACGGTAGGGAAGAAGTTTTGGGTCTTGAGGCCATGTGCAACATCGTCGAGTTTCTTGCCGTTTCGGGTGAAGAAGATCGTTCCGGTGCGAGGCCTATATCCAACTCCAATAACGTCGCCCTGAACATAGGCTGGTCCGTACGCGGAAGGTGTGAAGGGCTGGTTGTAGCGTCGGTTACCATTGGATCCGTACGAAATCGAAGACTTGTGGTAGCCTGCATATTGATTAGTATACAAGTTAATGAGCTTAAACATTGGTCTACGAACCTGGTAGCCTGAACAGGGGGTACGGCTTAGTTGTGACGCCAATTGCAATGCTTGTGTTCTCCGGCTTTTCGTAGATCTTGGCCTCCCAGTAGTACACTTCGTTCTGTTTCGGTATCGGTAGGTTGCTTTGGACGCTGCATTCAGAATCAAAGAACTCAATCTCGGTTCGGCCTTCAACAAAGCAATTGGCGATCTCGAGTTCTGGCTCGAATTCCCATGCTGAAACACCCTTCTCTTGGATTGCGAGGAACTGTGACAGGGAAATGTCGGTTTGCACGGACTCGGGCGGGTTGACTTGCACGAAAGCTGATGTACGTCAGTAAACGCTCTTTGGCGACACAACCAGTAAACGCCTCTTACCCTTCGCTCGCAGGTACTCGGCTCTCTGCAGGTCGTCCATCTCTTCCAGCGCCTCGGCCTCCTCCTTGGCGAATTGCTGCTCATCATCATACTCCCCGGGTCGTGTTATCCGGTCGAGGAATACGCGACCCTGTTGCGTGTAGCGGAAGTAGTAGACAATGGCGAAGACGAGGAAGCAGAAGCCTGCAGCGCCGAGTACCGAGAACACACCAATCATGATACCCTTCGCGGTCGAACCCAGGCCATTGTTGTTGTAGCGTGCTATCCGTACGGCATCACTGGGCGATGGGTGCAGAGCGTGCGCGGCCTCGGCGAGCACAGTAGGTGTCGCAGATGAAGCATGATCGATTGGGAGGTACGACCTCGAGAGCGTCGTGGGCGGCAGGATGGCCTGCAGTGGTTCTTGCGGCAACATGATGGCGCGCGGGGTGTCTGCAGCCGGTGCTGTTCAACAGCGGGAGGATTGCGACGAGGTAGAGGCACTGCCAGCAGGCGCAGCGGCGCTCGTGGTGCTGGTAAAGGAGCCCGTTCTGGCGATGCGTCGATCTAGCGGCGGGGATCGAAGTGGTTGGTGACGCAAGTAAGTCCGCGGGAGTCGCCGGCGACGAGATAGCGATATAGAGGGCGAACTCGATGTGCACTCGCTGGCGAAAGGAGTGCGACGGTGTGGGAGAAGAGAAGACGAGCGATCCGATGAGTGTTGTGTGTCGTGAACAGCGAAACTGCGTGAGACTGCAAGTGCCTGACTGCTTGGCTGGTCTTGCCTGCTTTGCCACCTCCAACCCGCGATCGTAGCTTATGTCCTGGCGTTAGGACTGAAAGATCCGCAACACTGCCAGGAGTTCCGAGCCGCCGGCGATCAACGAATTGCAGTGGTACAGAGAGTAAGAGTGCGCAGGAGCGGTAGAGAGAGCTTCAGCCTAGTCCGTCAACCAGTGTATCAGGGCCGCTACGGGCGTTGAACGTCCACCGGAAGCAGTCAGTCTCCACCCAGCGATTCAGGCCTCACCAACTACAAGCTACTGCGACTTTACAATGCATCTCAGTAGACAACGCAGACACTATTTGATGATTTGATATTCTTGCTTTGAACTGCGCAATGCGCCTTGCAGCGCGAGATTGACTTGTACCACGTTCTGTTATCATTTGCAGACGCGTAGACGCGCGGGAGAGGCTCTGCCTTGTGCTTTGAGGCATCCAGTTGTCCGCTTGTTACCTCACAATCTGAAACACCAATTCGCAGAGCCGCCATAGGGCGCTATCTATGAATAGACGCTCTGTCAGAGGGCCGTTACAGAGTTTAGAAGCCAGTATTGCAGACATGCCCGTGCATAGTTGTGTGAATAGACGCTTGAAGGTACTTGCGCGTGCTGTTTCGATTGACGAGGCACTGAAGTACCTTGCGGCAGCTGCAAGGTGGCAACAGACTTCAGACCCTATGATCATCATGTATTAATTTCGAAAGCGTGTACAATGTGCCGTCGCTGTGATAGGTTGCAGCCTCGAACTCGACTTCCGCACAGCTTTTCGAGATTGCGCTACAAGCACAGTGGCCGAGACCCAATGTCAGCCTTGCAGAACCCTAGGTCTCCAGGATACATGTCCAATAATGCTGTCCAACCCCGGTTACTCAGCTCAAGTTTACTGACACGGGTCTACATGCGCAGATAGGGCTTCATAACGTTGTCATCGACGCTGGAGAATGATTTGTAGCAGTCAAAATCCGGTAAGAAAGTAAACGAGCATTAACCACAAGTAAGGAGAGCTTCCTCAGCAGACATGCAATAATCTGATATCAGTGAACCGTAATCATACGGACGGAGCGACTCAAAGGCTGGTACGTGGGGCTGCTTGCTTGTTGTGGCATCCTGCATCGGCTGCTTGCAGAGCTATTTGCAAGATTACTGCAAGTCATATGCATGCCTTGCAGATTTACTGCTTGATCGTCAGAGTACAGGTAGTACAATTACCCTTGTCGTTTAGATTGTTGCTTGGGCATTTTTGTTCTACCTGCATCTCAAAGTCGTCTAACCCTCCAAACACGCTGTTGACCAAGATGTAGACGAGTTCAGGATCTGCACGTCCTGCTTTCCAACCGAAACACTCACGGTGGAGGGGCGAAAGCACCTGAGGGTACTTCCTGTGAGCCGTCGATGTGGACAGAGCAGTGCAGTCGTCGTGTGTTACAACGCACCAGTAGCGCAACAAGTCATCCACCGACGAGTAAGTGGGCCCTGCCGAGCTGTCCATTGGCATATACGAAGCCGTGATACGTTTCGAGGCGCGAGAGCGATCGCCTCCATGGGAGTCCTGTTGCTCTCCACTGCAACCTCGTAACAATGAATGACTGATGGAGAGCACGAGCGCTGGGCACACTATACTCAAAGCGACTTTATGTTGCTCTTCACCCATCTGTACGCGAAAGAACGGTGTCTTGGACTTTGGCGTGAGATGTGCTGTCGACGAAATGCTTGGTGGGACATCTTTGAGCCTTCTACTTGGCGCCTTGGTATAAGGACTGCACAGCCTGGAGCCATTAAACGCAGTTGCGTGGAATGTTCTCCGATCGAGCTTGCACACAGCAGTTGTAATGTTGCGTGATTGCAGAGGAGCACCGCAACGATCCTGACTTCACCACTTTCTCAACACCAGCGTGAGGATACCTTCATCTAAGCTCTTTCCCGTGTGAGACGCCGTCTGCTTGTCGAAATGCTGCAAAACTAGACAAGAAACAGCTGGGTCGTCAGGAGGGTGCTGTCTCGATCAGGACGTCACTTGGTGGACTTGACCGTTGTTGTGTGACCGCATCATACTTCTGATGTGATAGGGTTCTGACCACGGCGAAGACGCCAGTCAAGGTGAGAGAATGCACCTAGCGCTCAAGCGTGCGCTTTGATCCGTTTGTTCGTTGCGCATGAGGCTCTTTTTTTCCTTCATGTCTGAATGTAATCACTTCTGCACCTGCTGCAACCCCCACCAAAGAGGAAAGAGCTGCGAAGTCAACCCATGGAGAGTCCAAAGAAAAGTTGCGTGACCAACAGATGCTTGCGCTGCTTGGGAGAAGAAGAGATGAAATGACCTGGAGTTTTGAAAGGATCCGCATGAAGTCAAACATTCGATCAAAGCTTGGGTGACAGTGCAGGTGCAGTGCAACGTGCAATCTGCTACACGTCAAAAGTGTCATCACCGTTCGGTGAGCCCTACGCTGCGCAACGCTGCAGTACGTACACTTCCAGAGGCATTCGAGGCCCTCTAGTGTTTGTCGAGGGTGCAGGCGGTGTGTCGAAGAAACGATGAGTAGCAGCACAGGTCTGAGGACTGATTGCGGTTCACCTAGTCCAATCAGGCGGGTGTGGGTCGGCGCACTTGACATTTCAGCGCCTGCCCTCCGCAGGGCATACAGCTCGAAGAAGCCACACGTCGTCGCCTCAGATATCGCCTACTGCACTCTGTCTCCACCTGTGCTTCTGTCGCACCGCAGCTCCATTCCTACCGTTGCGTTTTAGCAACGCACAATAGCCCCAAAGGCCGTGTCTCCTTGTGCCCCTCCAAAGCTGCGGCCAGCCGTCTCCCCCGCGTCATTCTACGAGCAAACTTGCAACCACAACGCACGCCAAAATTTCCTAGACCACTCGACCTTTGTAAGACCTCAAAATGATTGTAGCTTTGTAGAACGCACCGACACCAGGAGCTGGTACGTCCGCCTGCCCCTTGGGCCAATTCATTGTCTTGATCTCATATGCGCATGGCAAGAGCTAACCATGCTGCACCGACAGAACCAGCTTGAGGCGCCACCAGGAACACCTACCCCCTTATCGCCTTCACTTTCGAATCGCAGAACTTGTCGCCTTAAAAAAAAACATCTCGAAATCGCACAGCGCAGCAGAGTTCGACCCCTCCCCGCACCATACAGCGTATAGCTCTTCACAATGTCGTGGCAACCTGAGGAACAGACATTACGGCAGCTGGCGCAGTGCCTGAAGGACTCGCTCGGCGGTCACGATGCGAATGCGCGCAAGAATGCCGAAATTGTTGGTCGACCCCGTTCATACCTTGCATTGAGCAATTGCACTGACTGTGGGGCCCATACAGATGCTCAGGACAGCCAGGGCTTCGCCCGATTTTGACAAGTACCTGGCATACCTCTTCTCAAGTAGCCAGCCTCCATCAGGCGTCGATATGGACGGTACTCTATATTTCCAGGCACGTGCAGCAGCAGCCATCATGCTGAAGAACGATGTCAAGACGTCGCTGAAAGCCATGGATGAGACCACCAAGAGTTACATCAAGAACATCATCATGGTCGGCCTACAAGACTCGAACAAACAGATGCGCCTGTACGCCGGCAACGTCATCACTGAGGTTGTGCGACAAGGAGGCATCATGGGCTGGCCTCAAATCCTCTCAGATTTGGTCAACATCGTTAGCAATGCAAACGGAAATGTCTCTGTTCAAGCGCAAGAAGGTGGCATGAGCGCTTTATTGAAGATCTGCGAAGACCACAGGAGAGCGCTGGATAAGGAATATCAGGGCCAACGGCCGTTGAGCTATGTCTTCCCTAAGCTTCTGGAGCTTACGACAAGCCCAGTTTCTCGAGTACGCGCCGATGCGATAGCCGCGATCAACGTTTTCATCCCAGACAAACTGCAGGTCGTATTATCCAACATCGACACATTGATGCAACAGCTATTCTCTATTGCGAGCGATTCGAGTGAGGATGTCAGGAAACAGGTCTGTCGAGCCTTTGTCCATGTTGCAGACATCGCCCCGGAGAAGATGCTGCCGCACATGAGTGGACTGGTCGACTACATGGTCGCACAACAACGAAGCAAGGATGATGAAGAACTGGCTCTGGACGCTGCTGAGTTCTGGCTTTGTGTTGCGGAGGACGAAAGAATGCGCGATCATTTGGGTCCCTATCTGGCGAAGATCGTGCCTGTGCTCCTCGAGAGTATGGTCTACAGCGAAGATGATGTCCTACGTCTAGAGGGTGAAGAGGAGGACTACAACGTCGACGATCGGGAGCAGGATATCCGACCAAATTTCGCTTCGAGCAAGTCAGGGCGGATGACAACGAACGCTAGTGGTGAGACCGTTCTCACCAATGGTGCAACTGCTGGCTTTAGAGACGATGACCTCAGCGACGGTGAGATTGAGGACTTCGATGACGATGATTCATTCTGCGATCCAGAAGATGCGTGGAACTTGCGAAAGTGTTCAGCCGCGGCACTGGACGTACTCGCAGGGGTCTTCCACGAGGCTGTCTTCGAGGCGACGCTTCCCTATCTTACCACCAACCTCAACCACGCCGAATGGCCCAACAGAGAGTCTGCGGTTCTTGCTCTTGGTGCCATTGCCGACGGCTGCATGCATGTGGTGCAGCCTCACCTTCCCATGCTCACACCCTACCTCATCACGCTTCTGCAAGACCCAAAGCCCGTCGTTCGAAAGATCACATGTTGGACTCTCGGGCGTTACTCTGGATGGGCAGCGCGCCTCGACCAGGCTGGAAAACAGCAATACTTCGAACCTATCATGGATGGTATCCTGAAGAAGATGCTCGACAGCAACAAGGGTGTGCAAGAAGCTGCGGCATCAGCTTTTGCGCACCTCGAGGAGAAGGCGAACACACAGCTCGCTGACTACTGTCCTGTCATTGTTCGCCAGTTCATCCAGTGTTTCGCCATGTACAAGGATAAGAATATGTACATCCTGTACGACTGTGTTCAGACACTTGCTGAACACGTTGGACCGGCGCTCGCGCAAGACGAACTTGTTGCCATGCTCATGCCGGCACTCCTGCAACGCTGGAACAAGGTTTCAGATCATTCGAGAGAGGTTATACCTTTGCTCGAATGCCTCTCTTACGTCGCAACTGCGCTCGACCGCAAGTTCTCACAGTACGCAGGTGGCATTTTCGCACGATGCATCAGCATCATTCACCGAAACCTACAAGAAAGTCAAATGGCCACCGAGAACCCCAGTCTTGAGGTACCTGATAAGGACTTCCTGATCACCGCCGTGGATCTTCTGAGTGCAATGATCCAAGCTCTCCCTGCACAGGACAGCGCTCAATTGGTTGCTGGAACTCCGAACTTTTTCCAGCTGCTGGCTATCTGCATGAGCGACTCCAACAACGACGTAAGACAGTCAGCCTACGCTTTACTCGGTGACTGTGCTATCTGCGTTTTCGAGCAATTGCAACCCTGTCTACCTGCAATCCTAGAGATTCTAATTGTTCAGCTCGAAGCTTCGCCAGCTCATGTTGGTCATGACGAGTCTGGATACTCAGTCATCAATAATGCTTGCTGGTCGGTTGGAGAGATTGCCATGCAACAGAAGGAGGGCATGCAGCCATATGCTGAGAGACTGCTTCAGAAGATTGGCACAATACTCTTCGACAGCAAGGTGCCGGAGTCGTTGAATGAGAATGCCGCTATCGCCCTAGGTAGGCTCGGGATAGGTTGCGCACAGTACCTCTCAGTGCACCTTGCTCAAATTGCGCCGGCCTTCCTCCGAGCAATCAGCAAGGTCACTTGGAATGACGAGAAGGGTCATGCCCTTACTGGCTTCATGCAAATCGTTCTGGCGAACCCCGGCGCCATGGAGCAATCTCTTCTCGAGTTCTTCAGTCTGATGGCGTCTGCCGACCGGAACTTCGTCACTGGACCATCCGGTCAGCAGTGTCGTGAGACATTCAAGCAGGTCAGTGCACTCGATTATACGGTCATTGACACTACTAACACCTCATACAGATTATTCAGCAATACAAGAGCATGATCTCGAACTTCGACAGTTTCCTTAACGGCTTGCCTGGCGACCAGCAAGCCACCTTCCGTGAGCTGTACGGCGTCTAGGCAACGTCTGTACACTCATATCACCATGGCGATCTTCTCCCCAGCCATCTACTTGAGGATGAGAACGGACCATTTTTCTACATATGAGTCGGCGTTGGATCGATGATGAATAGTTAGAGGAAGAGGAGGATACCAAAAGCAGGACAACTGGGCGGAGCAAGTACTACAGCGCAGGAGGAACGAGCAATGAGCATTTACGAACAACAAAGGAGGTTCCGGCATCTATAGACATTTTCCAGCGACTTCTTGCTACATAGGCGGGCTTCTCAGCCAACTTCGAAACCGAAAAGGCTATGTTATCATGCTCGTGGGGTGGGGTCAACGTGCTGCAGCGTATCATTCACCGGCGTTCTTTCTCTTTGTTGGTTGCAACACCACACACCATTATCCATAGCCCATAGTCTAGTATAGCTGTAGGTAGACGTGAATTTTTCTTGTGGACGCATAGCGAGCGGACATTATCACACATCATTGGCTGTGTCTCCGTCGGCTGTATTCACCGTGATCAACTCTGCTAGCAGCGGCATCTCCAGTTTTTGGAAACGCAAAATTCTGTTGCAACGAAGCCTTCTAGGAGGCGGCAAATGGGACGAACACAAACGGCGTGGCCGGATGGCTTGCGCGGGGCCCGAGTGATTGGTTCAAGCGGCGGCGACAGCATCTCTGCCGCCGTGCTGCAGGGTCTACCGTGGTTGATAGGTTGCATGGTTGTGCGAAGTTTTGTACGTGGCAACATGAAGTCATGTTTGATGCTTCAATCCACCTCAGCACCTTGTTGGATTCCGGGATCTGGATCGCTTTGTCTGCTGGTGGCGTTGGTGTCTGAATATTTTGTCGCATGCCCTTTCGGGACGTTGGGGTTACTATCCGATCGGTAGGGATACGTTGGTAGCGATGGGAAGTAGGTACCGAACTGTGCGATCAGCAAACTGCCGTGATGATCTTGCCATTAATTGAACTATCTCGCTGCATGGCTGCCGGAAGTCTACCAGATCTCGATGGGAGTCGTACGACTGTTTCAGGTCGTTCTCGTTCGGACATGAGAGGGGTCTGCATCTTGACGGTCGCAATTTGATCTTTGTGTTGGTTGTCGCAAATCTCGGGAAGGCCTTTGGTTGTTTTTCAAATTTCGGTGAGGGAGGCGGAGGTGACCGCAATTTATGCCTCGGCTGGACGTGCTCAAAGAGGATTCAAGGCGCACTCAAGGTAACTTGACAACAATGCTGACCGCAACTTCTCGTCTTGAGAGATTCGAGACGAGTTGATGGAAAGTAACGCGATATGATTTCCACCTCTTGCATCATTTTGAATCATTGAGAGATTCATGAATCTCGGTGAAATCTTACCGAAGGCCCTTTGAACGTCGTTGTCATGCGGCTCATGCGGCTCATGACTGGCAGCACGGGATCATCCATGTTCAACTCCACGCGAGCCATGCATGTAATGATTCTGCGCATGTCAGAAGCAGGCTGCTCAACACTGCATCAGAGTGCAGCAGTACTCTCCTGTTGCTCACGGTGAATTGAACCTGTTGTGGTTCGTGAGGATGAAAGGAACATCCATGTTCCGGACCACGCGAGCAACGTGGAACCGCCGGCTATAAATACCGTATCCGTGCGCGTGTCGACCGGATTCGCGTGACAACCGGGTTTTACTAGCAAAAACAACAAAGTATAAGAAGTTTAACCTTGAATATATCTACTAATAGTAGAGACATTAAGATACTTTCTATTGGAGAAGTATTCGATTTCTTATAATCTTTAACCTTATGAAAAAAAATCTTCAATAATATGGCTATTTAACAATGTTTACTTTTCCCTAGTAAAAGAGTAAAGTTCAAAAGGTAATAAAATCTTCTATATAAAAAATTAGTATTAAAACCAATATACTAACTATAACTTTAATATTAGGCATTTCTTAATATATACTCTAGTTATAAATATATACAAAAATATTATACAGAAGATACTTATAATAGCCTAAAACTAGTATTTTGGCAGAAGTAGAGTATATATAAAGAAGTTTCCAATATTAAGTCTATAGCTGGTATATTAGTTCTAGTACTAAGTTTTTTCTTATAGAATTTTTTTGTAATGGGCTAGACCCATGTGGACCCATCTTGTGGGCTAGGCTTAGAGCCTAGGAGCAGCACAGTCCTGCTTTTCCACCAGTATAAATATTGTCTATGCAAGATGAATCCTGTTGATTCAACTTGCACATGCCTTTTGGCATAGGTTGGTGCATATAGTCGTGCATATTGTCTTTGGACTCCACCCTTTACAAATTTAATAACTTAAGAATATCTATAAACAGAGTAAAAGTCTTATATGGGAGATTTTTCGATGTTTTTTATTAAAGATCCTTAGATCCTTTAATTATCTACTTCTTTAGTATTAGAAGTATTTTAATATATTTATTAGTTCTATGGTTAGACAGTTTTCAAATAGGCTACTTTTTTGTTTTTTGTTTTTCTCTAGTTAAATCCGGTCGGCACGCGAATCCGGTCGGCACACGCACGGACACGGTATATCATTAGCAGTGGTGTTCACCGTTGAAGACCATCACTCATGATCACTCAGCTCCTCTTCATCTGGGGTTCTATCAAGGTATGCTGGCGGAAGACGCGCCCTGCAGCGCTGCGGGATGACCGAATTTGACAAATAGCGCCTCTCAAATTTTTCAATGGTGATCGTTGTGTGCGCTGTGGGGATTCGGAGCAGCTATGAACAAAATCGTAGGTAACGCATTACTATATTCGACTCAACAGCCGGTGATGTGTTTCACGGTACGAGTGCAAGGAACGGACCCGGCTGGCACAGGGCAAGACAGTATGTCGAGCACGAGGATGGAGAAGATCAGAGGAAGTACTCCACGCGAAAGCCCGCCGTGTGGTCGGTGGAAGGATCGTGGGAGGACATGTGTGTTGTGTAGCCTGGCACCATCCTAAAAGAGGCAGTTGGCCGCGCCGGCGGTAGAACAGGGTCGCACTTATTTAGAGCTGTCCGGTGGTGGATTGGGCAGTATCTGAAGATTGGATATTGCTGGCAATGGGGTGGCTTGCGTGCAGATATGTGTGTTTGCTGTGTTGCTGCTCAGCTTTGTCACTTTTGCAACGCTGGCTGCCAGCACGACGCGAGATCAGACGGAAGGAATGGAGAGGTTTCTCACAATCCTAGCCGCACCCCAGACATGGCATGGGTTACCCTAGACCTACGCCGACGCAGGTAACAAGCTTAAAAGGGTTCATCTCTAAGAATAGCCTGTGGAATAACCTCACCTGTCACTAGCCTACATATTCTATCGCCTGCACCTGCTTTCGCGCATCTGCCATGTCATTGCAGACTATTGCTACCGTACCTCGGTCTTTCTATGGTATCGTGGAATATTGGCCGTCAGCGCCTTGTTTCTAAGAACGGCATATCGCACCTCGTGTTTGCTGCTCACTGCTCCACCGAGAGTTGGCGGCTCCGATACACGAGAACAGAGGCATTGTAGCGGTGCAGAAGCCTAACAGCCTTGCAGCAGGAGACGACTCCGACGCGCTGGAGAGCTCTCACTGCATTGTGTACCTACAGCTTTGGGTTTCACGGCACGTTGTGCATATGTGCAGATCCAATGTAGCGGCTCGCCTATACTAGTAGTTCTGGCTGCCAGGCAAGACACAGGCTGAACTCCGGTGAATGAAAATGTGTAGAGTAAGCTGCGAGCTGAATACCCAGTCTAGCGAATCCTTCTGGTACTGCCAATTTGGAGGCCTGTACCTGTACAAGCCTGTGATTGCAGCTCCAACTAAGGGCATCAGCGCAGCGTGACAGATCGGCAAGGTGGTGGGTTCGAGTAGCATTGCCCTGACGGTCAATGCGGGACACCATCATCATTGCTTCAAAGGCAACATCGCGTGAATGACGGGCGAACGCTGCTGTCTGGTGACTTGGTAGAGAAGCGGCCAAGCACGGGCGCACAAGCAGCCAAAAATAACCACAAGGCCCCGGCACTATCGCCAGACCAAGCGGCTTTGGGTGCTAGCATCATCAACTTTGCTGCATCCTCCCCTTGTCTGATTCGCTCACCTCAGAGTGAGCAGTGAATTGAGTGAATTGCTTGCTGCGACTCTACCTGGACTCCATGCGACACTATCGCGGCCGGCTCTCCTGGAGTGGCAATTCCTGAGCGCCCGCACCGCCAGAAGCTGGTCCGCCCGTCTTTGTCTGCCACTCATGGCACTCACCCTCTCGCTGCTGAGGCCGATCGCCTCCACCGCACCGCACGGCCCGTGGTGTTTAGGCGGTTCACTCGATTAGGGCCTCCGCTCTGCGCGCTGGTGGTTGGCACTTGCTGCTCATCGGCAGAGGCACCCACTGTGTGTGCATCCATGGCATCTGCACGCCCAACGACGCCAAACCGTCCGTCTCCATACAGACGACATGGGGGTACCCAAAGAGGGGCCACCCCCAGTAGTCGGCCGCCGGCGGGCAGAGACGTTCACTGCGCGGCCCGGGCTTGCCATGCTGCTCGCTCACTGTAAGCAGAGGTTCATTTCTGAAGCACCTTGCTACTCAGGGACAGCAGCATCACACTGTGCCAGACCTGGGTATCGCTGCTCGAACAGGAAGGATCCAAAGCTCCGGATAGAGCTTAATCGTTACAGGAGTTACAGTGGGGGCTATGCCATACGAGCATGTATCAGTCACTCCATTGCTGGCTGTAGCTCCCGCACGCTTCACTAGCCTCTCCCGTCACGCCGTCTCTACCGGCTGCCACACAGGTCCCCTTCCGCCGCTCGTGGCGTCACTGCTATTTGTGTGGACGCTATCTCTCCCTAACCGTAGTTGATTCCGTTTTGACGTCTCAGGGCTTTTTGGAACCGAGCTCTAGCTGCTCTAGCGCTTCTGCTTCCGCCCAAGTCCCCTTTGTCCCAAGGAGGTATGGCCCATCAATCCTGCAGGGGGCACGTTGCATACTCTTGACCTTTTTCCGCTGTCACTTCGTCCTGTCGCACCTCCGCCGGGGCCTTAGCTTTGCGTCAATACTTCTCAGCCCTAGATTTGTCTAAGCTCCCCATCTGCACCCTGCGGTATATATCACTAAACTGTTCCGGCCTTCAGCCTCCAGAATACCGTCCTGTCACCGGTCTATGACCACATTACTCTCGCTTCAACATCTCGCCTACCAGTACTTGCAGCCTGCATATACTCAGCCCCCACCAACACCACCCCTCACCACCTCCAGTACTCCAGAGAGACACTGAATACTACGACACGAACACCATAACACTCGAACGCGAAATCCTTCGAGGACGCTGCGCGGTCCGCTTCTCACATTCGCTCAAGAGCTTAAATCCCAACTTATCCCAATGGCTGGACCAGGCGGTGGCCCCTCAAGGCGCAGTCACACCAAGTCCCGAAAGGGCTGCAAGACTTGCAAGAGGAGACATATTCGCTGTGATGAGACCTTCCCGCAATGGTAAGTTTATAAGCTTTTGTGATGTGTTTCAAACACTAACATGTCGATAGTCGCAATTGCACCAAGCACCAGGTTCGGTGCGATTACATGGACAGCCCCACTGCCATGATGCCAGAATCTCCGCAAGCTCCCCAGCAGCCCAACCTTCTCTGGACCCCAGAGATCGAGGCTACTATTGAATTGTGGAGCCAGACTGGAGAGTTTCCTTTCCCCGAACTTCGAATCTATTCTCAGCCCCAATGGCGAGCATATGCAAAGACCGACCTCCGCTTGATCCACCACCTTTCCTCCATCACCAACGAGATGTTCAGGAATAGCACCTCCAAGATGACGCTCTGGGCTGACATGATGCCTAAGTGAGTGCTCAACGCTACTCTTCTGGCCAGAACCGAGTATGGCTGACTGGAAATAGATTCTTGAGCATTGCAGCTTCACACCCTTTCGTCATGCACTCCATCCTCGCTTTCTCCGCCTCCCACCTAGCTTGGATCTCACAGTCGACCGAAACACGAAATCTTGCTTTCCATCATGCAAGCATTGCACTGAAGGGTCTGCACGACGGCATTTCCAGCTTCACTAAGATGAACTCAGATGCAGTACTGGCTTCGTCTCTCCTGCTAGCCTGGCAGGCTACTGACTGGAGAGGTTGGGCTTCACTAGTCACTGGTACGAAGACTGTGATCCAGTCTATGCAACCCTGGAGGCACGAGTCTCTGTTTGCGGATTACATCGCAGAGCACAGCCCAATGCCTAACAGACACTTCATGGACCCGGTCAGTACGCCAGTGTCCCAAGAAGCGCGCACTCAGCAATTAAATACCCTCACGGATATCCATAACTCATTGCAACGTATGCAACCGTATCTCAGCCGCAACGATCAGGAAACGAAATGGGTTGATCAGCTGAAGGGCTACCTCGATCGTCTACGAGCATCCAACCAAGCGCAGACGCCTGAGGAGCAGTTCAATCAGCTTTACGCGCTCCGCAAGTGGCTTTTCTGGGTGCCAATCTCCCTTCTTTCTGCTAAGCGCGGAGACGTCAACGTTCTGTGCGTTCTTGCTCATTTCTACGCAACTGCCTTGGCATTGGAACCCATGTTTCCTGATGTTGCTTCAGTCTTTGTCTCCGATCTCTCTCTGCTTCCGTTGGAGGAGATTGTCACCGTTGTCCAGGGGTATCAGGATCCAAGGTACGATTCGAGGATTCAGACTATGTCATATTTGGTACAATATCCCATCGATATGGTTTCGTCATATAAAACCAGGAGAGAATGGACGCGACAACACAAGACTGCCGTCTCTCCCGTGCAGCAACCGTCCTACGCTTTAGAATCGATCAACCTAGATCTCGAGAACCAGATCGCACAATACAGTTATGGTCAAGCCCATAGCCTTAGCCCAGCTTTCGCCCCTTCACCTTTAGGATTCTTGCCGCCTGGGATGTCTTCTACGCCAACTTCCCCGTTCCTCGACGTTCCACGAACATCGGCAGATGCCTATGGCTCAAGCACCTACGCTACAAGTAGCTATGCCCCGAGCAGTTACGCGACGAGCAATTACGCGTCTCCATTGGGCTCACCCGCCAATGTACTATTACCGCCATATGCGGCACCTTCAGAGCATACATATAATTATGGAATGTCTGGATATACCAGCGGGTTCGTGGCTACACCTATCTGGACGTAAACGCAAGCAGACTGAACGAAACCCCAGGAACACCAGACTTGCTTCTCAGCCACCCACCAGCGCAGCGTCCGTGGCCGGATATGCGACCCACCCAATTCCAGTCACGCAAGTCCCCTCTCAGTACAGCGACGCTGGAAACATGTAGGGCCGACTGAGTGCGTTGGATAAACACGCCAAGCGGATCAACTACGTACTGCAACAACAAGCCTACGTCGGATCCAGCAATCACTTCCTGTACATTTTCGCACACCCTATCATAACGATCTAGCAACGTTTTGCGGGCTGTAGTAGCAGCCACTTAGAAGGTCCTGGCGCGATTCAATCGGGGCAATAGCCGAACTGGACGATTTAGCGATAGGTCACACTTCGCAATATGGCCTCACGAAGACGGTGTTCTTTTGTACTAGGCTAAGCCAGAAAGAGTTGGAAACATTTCGAACGGCATGGCACCAAGGAACAAGAACGGCTTATGCACGCACGCGCATTTGACGAACTTTCACGATTCACGACTGCATTATTCTCGGCGCCGATCATTTTGGTCCTCAGACGATCATTTACACATTTGTTCAATAGCAAGAGGAGGATTGTAGATACACACCCTATGATTTAGAAAGAGCGGCTTGTAAGCGATGGAAGGAACAGAACACCATGGATGTAAGCAGAATAAAGTGGCGTGTGTGGTGGTCGAAGAGATGGAACATCTGGGCAGGCAGAATTAAGGTTGGCTCTTTTTGGACTGGCCGCATCCTAGCGTAGCTCTGCTGGCATGTGTTTCCCAGTTTTCTCCTGCAAAGTCGTTGTGGTCTGTCAGCCCAAAATAACTAGCCAATCAATACTTCCAAATTTACCTCGCTCCGAATTACCAAACAATCTGCCGCTACAGATTTTTTACGTACAATGACGGCTTTTTGATCATGCGCGCGATAGCATGAATTGCTTCCATTAACTGACTCTATTCCGCAGGAAAGATCCCAGCACTGGTTCGACACGCGCCAAAACGTACGCTAGGCGAATTACGCGAATTACGCACAGAAGAGCTTGATGTCATTAGAGGGTTCTGAGCACCAGGTGCCTGAACGGTGGTTGGTCTACCTGTGCAACCATTTGAGTGATCAGCAGAAATCATGTGTTAGCTTCACCCCGCCTACCACTTTGGTGTAGTGAATGCGACGAAATTGTGCTGGTGGCAGTGCACAGCCACAGGTGCAGCGGTTTGGAGATCTGGACCGGTGAGCAGCGTCTCGCCTGAGGTTGACAGAAAGGCGTTCCCCAGGCTGTTCCATGGGCTGCCATGACTTCCAGAAGGTGGTTTGGAGGATGACTCGGATCAACATCCTTGCGCAGGCGCCGCTCTTGTGCATGACAATCAGGACGTGGTGCGGGCTGTTCCCTAGACGGGGACACTTCAACCGATGCTGCATTCGCTGCAAGAATACGATTGGACCCATGTCCTGCTTTTTGTGAATGCACCCACAGAGTTTAAACCCACATCGAAGGCCATTCGGCAAATAATGCTGGAACAAATCCCTAGCCACAAGTCAGCTATTGAGCCACTCTGTCCCTCGGCGTCTCTCGGCCTCGACAGTCTTCGAGCTTGGCCTCCGGGCCAACGCCCTTCACTAAGCTAGAAGCAGGCTAAAATGGTTCCCGACTAAAGCGCGCAGGCGAAACAGAGCAAGGGCCCCCCACCAACGAAGTTCCGCTCCTTCGCCAGCAGCGATTCCCGTCCGCGCCTGCGCTCCACCCCCCTTCATGACGGCCGCCATCTCGCCTAATCTCCTAACATCCTAATTTCTTGCGCTCAATCAGCATGACCAGTCTCAAATGATGATTACTAACGAGGCTGAGCTGTGCATTGCGACTCACTGCTGTGCTGTTACTGTTACAACACCATGATGACTTATGATCGCCTGACTTTCCCAGCGATGCGCAAGCTTTCAGCGTTGCAACCATACCTTTGAAGATCCTGACACAGTCCACTTCGCAATGATGATCCTCCGCGCTGCGAAGATGCGGGTTTTCAGCCAGTCCTAGAGGCATTCGCCCGATGCCCGCCAAGAACAAGAATAGCAACAAAAAGACATCAACACAAGAGCCGCAAAGGCAGCGTACAACAACGACCAGTCAGGAGCCACCGGATGTACGCTCCTAGTCTCTAGGCGTGCCTCGGCTTGCCCTTTCCTCCAACCCTTCTCTGATGAGGCTTCGCCAATCCTTCTAGCACCCTTCTGGTGCGCTTGATGCGTGGCGTCTTCCACGTTTCTCTCGTCGGAGGTCTCTCCAGCATGTCGGTGCGGGAGTTGCCTTGGCACTAACAGCATTCAGAGCGACGAAGCGATCGGGCCGACTGGTTTGGACGGTTCGCATTCGGAAAGATCAGGAACATGGATAGGATAGGCCGGTATTTTCCTCCAGACATGGCATTGTTGACGAGGGAGATCCAAAAGTATGATTGTGGGCGAAGTCACCATTCTCCGCAACATGGCTGCGTGTCCGTGTCGATCTCCCTGTCGATCATAGTGCCCTATAGCGCTGTATGGGACGTATCTATCCTTCCGTACTATCCACACAAAGAACAAATGTTCGTCCGAACCCCACCGAACTAGCATCTACCGATATTTCTTTCGCCAGGACAGGCAACGCCAGGCTCGTTGTACGACTATCTCGAGACACGAATCAATGGTCGCGAGCATTTACGCCACCCTCGTTGGGAGATCCTCCGACTTCACTTCGTCGAGAATCAAGAACGATTAGCTGTCAATCCTTGATGCTTAAGGGCACTAACGTAGCGCCAAAGCTAACATCGCAACGCCTCCTAATTAACCTCACGTATCCAAGACCCGAACATTGCGCGGCTTCGAAATGCACTCAGTAGCTTCTTGCTCTACCTTGGCTCACCACGGGTCATCAACGGGCTTCCACCGATTAGAAACACGTACATCATCGTACGATGTCGTGTCATGCTCCGCGCAGCCACTAGCAAGATAGATGCACCGGAGGGCTCGTCAATTCTACCCTACTTGAAGAAGTTGTGGGTTCGGTACGAAGTTTCACACGGGTGTTGATCCAGCTCCATGGCCCAACGTCCACCTGCCTCCTCGTCTCATCTCGAAGACGCCCTAGAAGCAGGGTGTCTGGAAAGCCAAGGACCCCGAGGAAGCGGTGTGCACAACTACACAACTCTAAACCTTGAACCGAGATGTCAAGCTAGAGTGCTCCGGTGGGGTAGCGCTCATGTGCTCCTAGGGGTGATCTCTGCATGTCTGGTACCAACGACTGGCACAGTGCAGTAGTGTGCATATGGAAAGGGTCACTCGTAGCCTCGGTCAAAGCTCCGAGGCAAGCGGCAACATCACGAACACGACCAACAGTTGACATGAGGTCTTACGAACGTCTCTTCCTTTTCACATAGGCTACCAAGTACAACTCGAGCCAATGTTGCAACTCCACCTGCAATGATGGCACACTGAACACGCACACACCTCCGCACTGATCCTCGGACATGCCCATACGCAGTACAATCGGACCTGCTCTGGATAAAGACTCTCCAGGCTTCAATACACACCAGTCCAAACAATCGAGATCGAGATCCTCGTCGCCAAGCCCTTGACGCAATGCAACCCACCCAAAACCTCGAAGATCATGCCATAGACCATCTCGAAGGTTTCGCAGCAAACTCGCTCCACATGCCGATAACTAGAAAATCTGCTCAGAGCTACGAAAACCTCACTTCTAAAGCTGTCGAAGAGCGACTTTCTGAGGTCTAACAAGATGTCCATGGTAAGTTCCTTTGAAACCGAAACAAATCGACTGGACGGAACGGCTGCATTTGGCTGCGGGGTCTAGCGCCTTGATCGCTATTGTTACGTGTTTGGCAGCTGTAAAACGCGGTACGATTTCTCTCCTTCACGTCCATTTTCCGTTTTTTCGGTACTTGAGACTCCACAAAGTTATATCAATCCCGTCTTTTCATTCCACCGTCGATGTCAACTAGCTGCATTTTCGGAGCACGCAATAGAAATCCACGCTCGCGTAATAAAAGCGGGGTCCGGCTGTTGACGTCCACAAGATCGCAAGCAAAGTCGAAAAGTTAGAAAGAATGAAGTATAAAACATCGTAGTGCCCGTTGCCAAGTCATCAATTCGTATTCAATCCTTCGAAGTTTCAAGATGACCCTCAGTCAGACGCTGTTGCTCGCTTCAGCGGGTGCAGCCGCTGTCGTTGGCTCCGTCCAGAATGTCACGAAGCCGAACTTCATCTTTATTATGACAGATGACCAGGACTTGCATTTGAACTCAATTGATTATCAGCAGTCTGTTCAGAAGCATTTCGCGCAAGAAGGAACCTGGTTCAAGAAGCACTTCTGCACAGTTGCTTTATGCTGTCCATCTCGCGTGTCTTTGTTGACCGGAAAGGCTGCGCACAACACCAACGTCACGGATGTCTCTGCTCCTTACGGTACGCCAGAACTACATCAGCAGAAACTTCGTAACATCGAAGGTCTAACATTCGTCAGGTGGATACCCAAGGTTCATCGAGGAGGGCTTCAACGATGACTATCTGCCAGTCTGGCTGCAGAACGCTGGGTACAACACGTACTACACTGGTAAGATGATGAACGGTATGTGAAACATCGTGTCTCGGGACTGGGGCGTTGCTCACTGGTGCTAGGTCACTCGCTTAGCACCTACAACAATCCGCGCATCAATGGCTGGAATGGGTCGGACTGTGAGTTTTGCGAATCATCAATGCCTGCCTTTCTCTGACGTATCAGTCTTGATCGACCCCGGCACCTACATCTTCTACAATGCGACCATGTCACGGAATCACGACCCAGCCAAGAACTACCCTGGCGAATACTCGACGGATCTGATCTCAGCCGCTGCTGTCGGCTTTCTCGATGATGCTATCAAGGCTTCCGACCGACCATTCTTCCTTGGTGTGGCGCCTATCGCCCCTCATTCGGAAACAATCACTGGTGGAGATGCGAAATTCAACGCACCCGTCCCGGCAAAGAGGCATGAGCATCTGTTCCCCAATGTTACTGTCCCACGTACACCCAACTTCAACCCCAACACGGTATGTTCAACACCTGAATGTACAACACCATACTAATGTGGGCTATAGACGGGTACAGCATCATACTTCAAAACGATTCGTCAATTGAACCAGACTGAGATTGACTATAACGACGACTGGTACCGCAAGCGCCTTCAATCCCTGCAGTCTGTTGATGAGCTGATTGACTCTATCATCGAACGCTTGTCCGCCAACCCAACAGTACTCAACAACACGTACCTGATCTACACGACTGACAATGGCTACCACATCGGCCAGCACCGTCTGCCTCCAGGAAAGAGCTGTAACATCGAGGAAGATGTCAACATCCCGTTCTTTATTCGCGGTCCCGGTGTACCAAAGGGCGCCGTACAGACCATTCCATCGTCACACACTGACATTGTGCCCACGCTTTTCTCGCTCGCGGGCATCCCGCTCAGGGAAGATTTCGACGGCGAGCCTATTCCCGTGACAAAAGAGCTGCTGGCCAAGAACGAAAAGAGCGAGCATGTGAACATCGAGTTCTGGGGCGAATACCTCGTTGAGGGTAACACCTTCTTCGGACAGTCATACTTCCCGAATAACACGTACAAACATGTCAGAGTCATTGGTGAGGGCTACGACCTTGCCTACGCCGTGTGGTGTACGAACGAGCTCGAGCTGTACGACATGGTGGTAAGTCTTCCTCTTTCTAATTGCTCAAGCCTCGACAAGATGGTTGATTGACCTGACCACCACAGAACGACCCTTACCAACTCACCAACCTGCACAACACAAACTCCACCGTCAACTCCTGGCCCATCGCCTCTCTCTCCTCTCGCCTTAACGGCCTGCTCCTCACGCTGAAGCGCTGCAAGGGCCGTACTTGCACTAGACCGTGGGAAAAGCTGCACCCCAAGGGAGATGTGAAGAATCTGAAGGACGCGATGGACAAGAAGTTTGATGCGTTTTATGAAAAGCATCAGCAGCCGGTTACGTTTTCGGAGTGTGCGTTGGGGCAGGTGTTGAGTGCGGAGGGGGCACTGGAGCCGGTGCAGTGGAGGGAGGAGTGGGACGAGTGGAGTTATCACACTTAGATGAGCGCAACGGTGGTGTGAGAATACCAATCTGCTGTATAGAAAGGGATCTGGTGATCCAGATACAGTTGTCAATATAAATGCTGTCTATGCGATGATCACTAGTTGTTCCAGGTACATGGCAACCGCGGCTCCCATCACGTCGGTACACGAAGATTGGCAACCGTGGTCACGATGTCTCAAGCCCCCCCGCTTCCGCATCGGAATTCACTGTCGGAACTGACTAATCGCGGCCCGCACTTAGCGCCTCGCATCCTCGCATCCTCGCATCGGTGAGGTAAACGGCCAAGCACGAGTCGCCGCGCCCACGACAACCGTGAACAACGCACGCGCAACCATGTCTGGAGGCTGGAACACGATCGAGTCCGATGCGGTATGACGCGGTGTGAGCCGAACCCTCCTTGCGGCAGCTAACGCCATTCAGGGTGTTTTTACATACCTCATCGAGAAGCTCGGCGTTAAGGATACACAGTTCGCGGAGCTCCTGACACTCGACGCCAACGACCTGAGATCACTCGGCGACGTCTACGGCGTCATCTTCCTCTTCAAGTACCCCACAGGCGAGAAACCAACAGAGGTACCAAAGGACGGCACCTTCGACCACGAGGCGGCAAACAGCCTCTTCTTCGCGGCGCAGACGATCCAGAATGCATGCGGCACACAAGCGCTGATCTCGGTGCTGCTGAACAAGGAGGGCGAAATCGACATCGGCAAGGACCTGAAAGAGTTCAAGGAATTCGCGGGCGAATTTCCGCCCGAGGTGCGTGGAGCTGTGTATGCGCCTCGAACTTGGGTGGCTAACATGGGACCCAGCTGCGCGGAGAGACACTGTCGAACTCCGATCTGATCCGCGAAACACACAACTCGTTCGCCAGATCCTCGCCCTTCATCGACGAGACACAACGCACGGCGACAGAGGACGACGATGTCTACCACTTCATTGCGTGCGTATAGGGACCACTTGGCGGCCAGCATGCGCTAACACCACACAGCTACTCGTCCATAAACGACAAACTCTACGAACTCGACGGCCTCCAGCCCGCGCCCATCTCCCACGGCCCGTGCACAAGCCAAGAGTTCCCCTCCAAGATCATCCCCGTCCTGCAACGGCGCATCGACCGCTACCCCGCCAACGAAATCCGCTTCAACCTCATGGCATGCGTGCGGGACCTACGTATACGGGCGAGAGAGTTTGGCGACGAGGACGGGCTAGAGGAGCAGGAGGAGCAGCGCGCAAAGTGGCTGTGGGAGAACTCGTTACGGCGGCACAACTTTGTGGGCTTTGTGGGCGAGCTGTTGAAGGGTGTGGTCAAGGCGAAGTTGGAGCAGGGTGATGGCGCGTACGAGAAGTGGGTCGAGGATGCTAAGAAGCAGACGGTGGAGAGGAGGGAGAAGGCGAGGAAGCAGGGCACGGCTATGGAATAGGATGATCAGGTCGTCTGGAGAGACGAGGCGAGGAGGCCGTAATGGAAGCATGCATGCACACCACCCCCCGGTTCACCTGAAGATATGCGCCGCGCGGGAACTCTGCCGATTTCGTTGACTGCATGCGACAGCCCTGTCAGTCCGTTTCGCCCATGTCAGCTATTGCTGCCGGTCAGACTCCAAGCGTTTGAACGCGTGCGGGAGGTTCAGTGCCCAACGTTGGTGACTCTAGCTTCGCAAACATTACCATCGTCAGGAAGACTTGTCCAGGGCGTAACGGCCATGTGCCACGGTCGTCAGGAAGACTTGTTCAGGGCGCAATGGCCATATGCCACATGGTCAAGTGCTCGACTCCGGTGCCCCACCTGTTCGTGTTCATCGAGTTGATGCTTCGTAGCCCTACCGAGGTGCGTGTTGCGCTGTGAACTGGGCCCAGTGAGCGATTGCGGGCCTTGTTCTTTCAGGGATCCAAGCATCTTATTCTCTACTGGCGTGTGTTCATCTGCATGTGTGACGTGCGCGGTTCTTGCAGGGTTCATTCACGATCGGCTACAGGCCAAGCACGGACGTAACCCGAGGAGATGGTTCGCCCCATCAACGATGAGATGACAGCTGAACACCTGATCACTGCCTGTTCCCGTACAGCTGAGGAGAGGGCAGCACAAGCAGTCGCTCCAAGCCACTCACAAACCTCACCGCGGACGTTCCCCCCGCTCACAAACATCGGGCGACGCGCAGCAAACAAAGCATCCCGACATCAAATCAGTCAATTTCGTCTTCCATAGAGAGGACGTTAAACCAACCAACCAAAGCATCCCCACCGGCCAGACTCTCAGACTCTCAGACTCTCAGACTCTCGGACTCTCGGACTCTCAGACTCTCAGACTCACATAGGACGTTACACCAATCAGTCAATCAATCAGTCAGTCAGTCAGTCAGTCAGTCGATCAACCATCACCACCCCTCGCTTGCGCAACCGCGCCCCTACGACTCCACAAGGCTGCCCCGCACTCCAGCACCCAGCATGGCCTCACGCACGTCGACACCGCGCTCGCGCTCCTCGTCAGCCAGCAGCGACTCGTCCGACACCACCATGCTCGACGCGCCCGCGAACCTCCCCCTCACGCCCGCCCGCCCTCGCCAGCCTTCGCTAACGCAGAGCGCTCCCTCCACACAAGCACCCGCCTCCGACCCCTCCTTCTCGCTGCTGCTCTCCCTCCCCCGTGAGCTGCGCGACCGCATCTACACGTTCGCCCTCACCTCGCCCTACCCGTTCTGGTGGCCCGGCCCCGCGCCGATGAAGCACAACGTCGGCGTGAAGCTGCTGCAAACGAACAAGCAAGTCTACGCCGAGGCCGCGCCGGTGCTGTACACAGGGAACAAGTTCCTCTTCACGCATCCGAGTGACTGCAACATATTCCGCGTGGTAGCGTCTCGACATGCTGAGAGTATGAACAGTGTGTACTTCCGCATCCGCGAAAAGGACCTGCGCCTCTGGACGACGTATCTAGGGAGCAAGAGCGCGGACCGCAGCCTGAGAGCTGATCTGCCTAAACTGAAGAATCTGTGGGTATTCATGCGCTGTGGGGGGGCAGGCGCACCGCGTCTACTCGGGCAGCTAGGTGTCCAAGGCCTGGGCGGCGGTCCACAAGGGTTTGGTGGCGTAGGCGCGCTTCCACCGGCTATGGCGGTGCATGTCCACGCCGTGCAGAACGCGCTGGGCCAGCAGGTGGCGGCGCTGCAGCAGCAGGTGCAGCATCTCAACCACGCCGTGGGCGTCACGGGGCCGCCGGTCATCGTGCCTACGGGCGCGCATGCGGGCCAGCATCACCCTGCTCCGAATGCGAATCAAGGCGCGGCGGGAGATGCGAACGGAGCGCAGCACCATGTCCCTCCGCCGCCTCCTCCGCCTCCTCCGCCGCCAGCAATGCCTTTCGCTACCTTTGCTACTTTCGCTGCCGGTGCAGTGCCGCACCATCATCCGCAGCCTCCGGCCTCTGCTGCGGCGCATGGGCAGCCGAGCCACAACATTCTTACTACGTTCCTGCGGTTTGAGCGTGAACTGGGCATCGAATCACTCTGCCTCAGTCTGCGCGAGACACTGCAAGACCACGACCACCACCTCGCACACCACCAACCCACGCATCCTGCTAGCGCCGGCGGCCACCGCGAACGCCGTCGCGAGGAACGAGAATTGGCTTCGCGCAACGGGCTAGGCCATCGCGAGGAGCGAGAACGAGAGCGCGAGCGTGATCGTCGGAACGAGCGAGACAGTGGCAGAGACCCGCAAGCCGGGAGGAAGCGCGAGGTTCCAGACGTCAAGATCGTGTGTATCATGCGTGTTCCGAAGCCCGAAGTGAGCAGGCTGGTCAGGATGTACCCGGAGGAATTGACTGTGGATCGCAATGGGGATGCGCGGACGAGGTTTAGGCGACTGCATGGTGCGGATATATGTGTGGAGATTAGTGGGTTTGAGGGTGTGCAGGGGTGAGTTTGAGAGAGGAGAAGCAGTGAGTGGGAGAGAGCGGGAGAGCGGGAGAGCGGGAGAGCGACGAGTGTAGAGCGTGGTACGAGCCAGCCATAGAGCAAGGCTGTGAACGCCGGGACAGAGGATGTATACCCAGGAAAGCTTGCTGCTGTCTGATCTAGTGCACTGTTTCGAGCTGCTCCCTGTTATCGCAACTCTACGCCAGTCATGATCCGCGCTCGACAGCTTGTAGGACGTACGCTTGCACCACCAAGTGTAAACGCGAGCCCTAGACTCCAGCCACCACTCCTCCCCCCTCTTCGTGTCCATGCCGCATCATCCGCAATACCTTCCGCGCCTCGCCAGCCAGCCACTCAGCCATGATGTGCTGCACATTCGTCTTTTCGTGATTCGTGCGCTTCCGGCTCAAGCACCCCGATCGTAGTGAAGTGGAGCGAACACACTTGGTCAAGGCAGCGGACACGACCGCGTCTTTTCAGACAAGGATTGAGAACGACAACGCGTCGCTTGATCGCGCTCCGGACAATGTGCTCGTTTACTGCTGAGGCGCCCACTGGCACCGGAGTTTTCTACGGGAACAGGGAATGTACAAAATGCATCTCGTGGACGGTAGCGTGACAGAGATGGCAACTGGATGCTGTATCCATGTCGCCGTTCCCTTACAGCTCTTCCTCCGTCTCGACGTCGAACATCTCCTCGTCGTCGCCGTAGTCGTCGCGCGTCTCGTACCACCACTCGTTACCATCGGCCTCTTCTCTAAGCAAGCTCAGCCCCAAGTCCAGCGTAGGCCTCGGAGTTGGTGTACGCCTCTTCGAGCATGCAAGGATGCGACTGTGCGTATCCCGCCCTTCCTAGCCCACTGAACGTACCCTCAGCCAGAGTCTCAGTCTTGTACGCAGGTCCCAGACCAATCTCAACACCCAGCCCATATGGATGGGCCACGTGCACGCATCCCTCCAGACCCGACATCGCGGCCTCGATATCCGCCTTCGTCCATTCCAACTTGAAGTCCATCTGCTGCGCCATACTCCAGCCATTCCTCGTGTCCTGCTCAGCAAACTCCTGCTCGTTAAGGCAGTGCTGACACACCAGAGTGCCCCAACGAGCCTTTCCCTTATCTGACTGGTTCAAGCAAGCGTAGTGGTACCATCTGAACCGACAGTCGAGATTTGTGCACTGCGCGATCTGAGGTTGCTCGCCCTTCTTGAGGATACCATGCGAAGCAGGCTTGTCGCACCAGCAGATCTTCGAAGTGGATGCTGGACGCATGTTCTGGAAGGATTCGTAGCTTAAGGTTGTGACACTGTCTGACACATCCATCTTGGTTGGTCGCTTTGCGAAGTGTACAGTAAGCTTGGGGGGAGAGGGAGGTCGGATCGTGGGTTCTGGCTCCGGTGAACGTCGAAGTCCGGTAGTGGAGCTGATCTGGGCCTTGGGTTGTGAGAGTTTGGGCTCTTTGGGGGCTATGGTACGCGCCTTCTTCTGCCCAACAGATTGTGTACCTATAGGAGCAATCTTCCGTTTTTTTGTCTGCTTTGTCGAGTCCTTTTTCTTCTTGAGTGACTTTAAACGCTTTATGGGCCGTACTGGAGCCAGAGATAGGTTCTCCTGTGACATCGAAACTCCCATCTTGTGTTTTTGTGGTGACCTCCTTACTTGTACGAGAGGGACTGCAGTGTTGGTGTCGAGTTCGCGACCAAACTTACGCTCCTTAACATTAACAGGTGGGGGGGTTGTCAGGTCTACGACACGAGAGCCGCACTTATTCCTAGTCACTGCACCTTTCTTTTGTGGCTTCTTCTTAGTGGCGATGTAAATCTTTGTTGCAGTCGAAGGCGATGCTCTCGATAGGTCTGCAGGCGCGGAAGGAGTAAAGTGTCCATCAGAACTCTCAGGTGTAACTGACGCAGAACGTAGAGTCAGAGTAAAATAATCCGTACGCGGCAATGGTTTCGTGCGCTCACAGTGCTTTTCGGTGACCTCATCACTGTCAGAGCTTATCCATATTGTGTCCTTGCCATGACCGTTGCTGGGTAAGTGATGGATTTGAGCCTCCTGCGGACGATCCGAAGCGCCATCAATTTGGGGTAGTGCCTGCGCTTCTTTCAGCCTGTTTCGTCTGTTTTTCGTAATGTGGGAGCGTCTTGACTGACTTTGCCAAAATCCTCATGCAGCTCACCGTCGGCCGGCTTGCTTTGGTATGCTGCTGCGCCCAAGGTCCCGCTACCAATCAATGCACTGACATCGAATAATGTGACTCTAGGGTTCTTGAATGGCCGCATGATCTGTACTGGAGCTGGCTCTTCCGAGCTGCGTAACTGAGGTCGCGGAAGAGCACCTTGGAGCTGCCTCATAGTATCTCGAGCTTCAGCGCGCTTCCTCCACAGGTACTCCAAGCAATCGACGCAATAGGTCGGCGCTTCCGTATCAACCAAATGCCTGACGAGCTGCCAGTACTCAGGCTGCTGCATAAGTTCACCATCGCGGCGGAAAGCGAGTATGGACTGAGACCCAACGGTGGGCGTGACCGTACCCCAATGAACAAGAGGTTCGAGTCTGACAATTTGTGATTGGCATGTGTGCATTGGAATAACTTGAAGATCTTTAAGGTAGGTGCAGGTGTCGTGCGCGGTATTGCTCAGAACGAAAAGGTGCTTTTCTACGTTGCGTTAGGCGAGGTGTTGAAGTGGGACTAGGTTGATATACCTTCTAGAAGCTGTGAGATCTTTGCAACATGTTCCGCCACGAGAACTTGCAGTCTAGATGGACGCTGGGATGTTGTCATTGTTGGGCAGCGACTGTTGGAGACCTTAGTCCACATCTTGGCCTGCAACACGGCAAGGTGATCGTTTGAAACGCCAGATAAATCGCACTCGTCGCCATATTCGTCGATGATCTGGTGGGGTTGCAGGTATTCATGGAGGTAGTTGCGGAGCGTGTTGGCACTTGCTAGGCCTGGCATTGGGAAACTTGGGTGTGAGCTGGACACATCCTCTTGCAATCCAAATGTATACACCTCAACACTAGCCTCAGGATAAACGTGCTTGCGACCCTGAAAGTCGAGCGCCAGCTCAAAACTGCATTCACCTTCGGCTAAGATTGGCGATGCAAAGTTCTCCTTGTCTCGATGTGTCAATAGAGCTGTGAGCTCTTCGACCTGGCGCGGCGGAGCTGCGAAAACTCGCGACGGCATGTTGAGAATACGTGAATCAGACTTTGGATATGAAGAAGTGAAAGCAGGATAAAGAGCTGGTGACAGAGCCGGGAAACCATGGAACAATCTGGAGTGGCTGTCGCTGCGCGTGGGCGTCGCAATGTTGTCGACGGGGCGCCGTGGGAGAGAAGCGCACGACGACATGGCTAACTACCAACTATGCCAAGCTTTCCGTAAAATTCTGTGTACTTTCAGGTACAGCAAGGCGGAAGTGAAAGGATGGCCACTGGCACATGTGGATGGCGCGTTCGTAGCCAAAATACGCGCCTTGAACGTCCAACTCTTGAGCACAAACAAACGCGTGCGACGCGCCCGACGCGTCGAACTTGCGAGGATGCACCATTTGCAGTGAATTTGAGTCGCGTTCATGGACAAGCAAGAAAGTATGTAGAGAATGACGAACTTGAGAGGTGAAGGGGACTGAAACTGATACTTGGCCTTGGACCTCCAGAAATTATATGGACAACCGAGCAGCATTGTGTTTGTGAACATAACAGGAATCCATGATAGAGATATCGCTACGTGAGTCTCGTGTTGTCTTGATTTAAGGTTGGTGGTGGAAGAAGTGACACGCATGTTTGAAGCATGGGGAATACATGCTAGTGCACTTTGACGTCATTCGCGACTACGTTACACAAACTCGTTGCTACCACATCAGAGACACGAGATACATGTAATTTGCACAGTCACATCACTAAAGAATAAACTCACGCAACAGGAAGAATATGAGCTGAGTTTTACATAATTTTTTCATTCATGACATGATGCTAGCAAGCTTGTCGCAGTGACAGAGCCGCAGAACACAATTAGATAGTCTACCTATCAGTGTTGACCTGCGCAGCAGACTCCGGCTCCTTCTCCTGCGCCGGAAGACCACCAGTGTTACCCCGTGTACCAGCCGCATCCTGGGTCAAGTTCCTCTGCTTAGCATGTGTCGGGTCGTCCTTCAGATCCGCAATGTTGCCCTGGCCGTGGTTCTCCTTCAATCCAGCAAGACCACCGCTGCCACCACTTTGGGTCGAGTTGTCGCGGAGCTCAGAGCTCGACTGACCCTGGCCGGGGTGTCCGAGACCGGTGTGTACGGAACCTGAGTCGGCACCGACCAGTGTTGACGAGGCGCTGGTGAAGGTCTTCTGGTTGTTGATGTCGGGATTGGGGGTGTATGTGTCGGCCTTTGGGGCTGAGCCAGCAGGAAGAGTTTGGGCGTGGAACTCAGGTGCGTGATCGGCTTCTGAGACCTTCTTTCCGATCTGGTGCTGTGAGGATGTTAGCTTGTGCTCAGGAAACATGAGTTTTTTGGCAGCCAATTAGCTTGCAAAACAACTGTAGAATAGGAGCGTTTCCTAGGCTGTTGCAGAACTCAAGGATATTTTGACTTACTCCACCTGTCAAGAGAGGCTCGCTGGGCTTGACATGGCCTGCGAATTCGCCCTGGTTGGCAACGGCATCGGCGTTCTGAGACATTTTGGAGACGGTTGACTCGATGTATGTGATAGGAAGAGATGAGAAGGTGCAATTGACTTGTACAAACTGTTTGTGTGTTGAAAAAGTTGTGTTGTTTGAGAAAGCTATGGTAGCTCTACCGAAGGTTATATTACGGCGTCATGTACCTTGACATCGGTCAGACGTCACCACCGAAAACCGCAATGAAGCTACTATGAGCGCATTGGAGGGGCTGAACGTCATTCAGGTACCTCGTCGATCAGTCACGTGATATCACGCTATTACGAGAGTCCTTGCATGTTCGCAGAAAGGGCGCGATGCAGTGAGTGATAGCTCGAACCACGTGACTCTTGGCATTGATGGTGCATATACAGTCAATAAGGCTTTTTACAGCTTTGAACCGGCTCAAAGTTCTCTGCGCTGGCATTCGTTGATCTTATGGATGTAAGACTGTTGTCGTCATATCGGACGTGCTTCGATGCAGGATAATCAGATCACTGAACTAGAGTATAATACGACGCTGGTCAAGGCGCAGAAACGCGCATCGCTGTGTTCGAATTAGCGCGTGTTACTGAAGAGGATAGTCGGTGTTCGGTTGGTGGTGGATTTGCAATGGACAAGCCCGCTACGACAGCATGTGGAGCTGTGCATCGACAATTAATTCAATCAAAACCTGTCACGTAGTCAGGGATGATGGCCAGTAATGGAAAAGGTCAAACCATGGATACTGCAAAGATACCACACAAAACAACCAGCTCCGAGACATAGTCCAACGACATCGACACGGTATGGCTGCGGGGGCATTATCATTCTGTAACTGTAGAAATATTGCGCATGCAAACGACACGCTGACCCTATGTACTATTATTAGTAGCTCTGTCGCCATTGGCAGTTCATGAGCTCTTCGTGTCGATCTAGAGGGTGCGTTCAGTGGATGTTGAGCAAGCTTTGCTCACTCACAGAACGTGTTAAGCGACTCTTCCATCATCGTTGTAGTCATGAGCTTCTCCTCCAAGACATACAATATCTTCAGTATCGAAGGCTTCCGTCGGATTGTGCGGACCTGTACACCAAGTAAAGTATCGCCCCAGTTCATGCTACTCAATCCAAGTCCAACGCTTCCGAGAATGAAGAAAATGTAACGCCAACCAATATTCGTCATGCGAAAGCAATCTGAATAAAGACAACGTACCGTTCGGGTCTGATTCGCTTCGCCTAGAATCTGCTTGCGGCGGCACCCCAGAGGGAATTGTAGATCTTGTCGACAACGTATGAGGCCATGATCGTGCGGTGGTTAAAACTGCGACCGTTAAGACCTTGAAGAGCTTTCTCACCACCAGAGACTGAGTCGAACTTGACGTAGATGTCACCTTCGGTGTTCGGGTCAACGGCGATATGGACGACTTTGCCGTACTTCTTGTCGCACTCGACCTTGACTTCGTTTTCGAGGTCCTTGACCCAGTTATTTCCCCAGTTCCTCTGTTCCCTGATTTCATGTCAGCTTATGTTTCACAACCACGGATAGAGATACTTACTCGTCAGCATCGAAAGCGTTCTCGATCTTGATGCACTTCGAAGCCATGGGCTTGTCAACAACTGGAGCACGGGGCTTGCTGACAACAGGTGCAGCACCCTGTTTCGCGGGTTCTGCTGGGTCACGACGAGCTAGCGCGTCCATTAGCTTGGAACGATCGTAGGTCTTGAAGTTGACTCCAGCAACGTCGGTATCATCAAGAGCAGAGGCGCCGCTAACGCCTCGGTCATCCTTGCTGTGGGTGCGATCGAAGACACCACCAGAGCCTCCAGCATAGGCGCCACGGCCACCAGCGCCGCTAAATGCAGAACCCTGGTAGCTCTGCGCCTGCTGGTTGAAGGTACGCAACAGAGTAGCTGTTGATTCCGGCGTGAACTTGTCGTTACCGAGACCAACTCGAATTTGGCGGCCAGCGAGCTCGAAGCCGTTCATCTCTGCTAATGCATCTTTAGCATTATTGGGGTCAACAAACCTGGTTAATGTTAGCTTTTGGTAGTACGTGTTTAGAGTGAGAGTTTTACTGAACGAAACCGTAACCCTTCGATCGACCGGGGTTCATCTCATCCCGCTGGAGGATGACCTGCTCAAGCTCACCATAGGGCTCGAAAATCTCCTGTAAATCCTTCTCGGTAACACTGAAATGGATGTTGCCAACGTAGAGACGGTGGAACGGAGCACCGTTGGCGCCTGGTGCAGCACCTCCCTCAGATGGTCGAGCTGCGCGGTTCTTCTCGGCTTCTGTAAGCTGCGCAATGATAGGAACACCTTTCAGCTTCTGTCCAGTCAGCTCCAGAGCCTTAGGAACGGACTCTTCGTCCTTGAACTCAACGTAACCAACGCTACAGTAATTGTCAGCATGATTCTATGATACAGACTAGATTCAACTTACCCCTTTGAGCGACCAGTGACTCGATCTTTGACAATTTGGGCTTCGACGACAGGTCCAATAGCCTCGAAGAAGGAGCGTAGATGGCGTGTCTCAGCACGCTGGGAGATCTGCTGAACGAAGATAGTACGCTTGTCACGATCGTCTTCTGTAGCTTCTGGAGTAGCGGTCTTCTCACGGCGGCCTCCTTTGCGCTCCTCACCACCACGCTGACGATCGCCAGATCTTTCCCTCTCACGGCGTGGCTTGTCACCGCGGGGGGAGCGCGAGCGAGCGCGTCCTCCACCGCTGTAGTAGTCACCGCCTCGGTCCCTTCGTCCTCCGCGGTATCGGTCGCGCGAGCTGCTGCGTCGGTATCTGTCATCAGCGTCACCTCTGCTCGAACGGGGGCGGCTGTCGTCTCGTCGGCGGTGGTCTCGGTCGCGGCTCCTACGCCTATCGCCTCGGCGGTCACCGCGATCTCTGCTGCGGTCGCGACGGTCACTGTGTCGGTCACGGCGGTCGCCATGGCGGTCGTCCTTGCGGGCGTCCGAGTCACGGGCCTCGTCATTCGCTTGTGCCTCGCGGGTCTTCTCTACATCGCGGGCAGCCTCCTCGAGGAGTGCATCGACATCCATAGCGCCTGAGGTCATTCTGGTGTCGGTTGAGTCCTAGCTCTCGATAAGTTGCGTCGGTCGGTAGTGCTGAGCGCAATCACGGGGCAGGCGCAGTGCGTTGTACGAAGTGGTTTCGGTAAGCCTTGAGGCTGAAATATTATATTGCGGACTGAGCGTGTGCGGAAGGCAGCTAGTATTCCAAGCAAGATTTTCGGCGACAATTGACCATATGGAGTCTCGTCCCAGGTATAGTGTGCTTGTTGATGCGCGCAAAACCCTGCAGTCGGTGGTGGAGTGCAGGGGAAGAGGCTGGGTAAGTATTTGAGTTGGTGTCTGGACCGTCCGCACTAGTGGCGGCAAAACCTGGAAAGAGCCTCGAGCCAGTAGGCAGGCGCTCACACGTGCAATTCACATTCATCAAAAAAATCGAAGTAATGCCGGCCATTTGCGAAACGAACGTCATGCGCTCATACGCACATTAACATTAAAATAGGTATATGTGATCGTGAAATAGAACTAGCTCCAATCTAGGAACTTATCGCCCAACACGTCATGTATATTCTTACAAAACCACAACGCCGACCCAATGCTGTCTATGCAATCATGTCACCAACCACTCTAAGCAGACATTACGTCTACGATGTCTTGATGACCTTCGGTGGGCCCATCTCGAGCTCAGTGCCGAACACCCAGTCCCAGAAGCGACTGGTAACGCCAAAGCCGTTTTCGTAGTCGGCGAAGTGGTGCTTGAGGTGGTACTTCTTGAGCTCCTGGTACCAAGGAGGAAGCTTCTGGTGGTGAAGGAAGTAGTGGGTCAGGTCGTAGAGTGTGTAACCGAAAACACCGCCACAGTACGCGGCTGTCGCAGCATACCAGTTGTGGAAGAATACAGTGTGTGCGAACTTCCAGAACGGTGCCGCAAGCACTGCGAACAGCGTGGGAGGCATGACCAGCCTGTACTTGTCCATGGGAAGGTAGTGGTGGATGCCATGAAGGAGGAAATGCAAGGTGAGAGCGGCGCGATTGTTGGGAAGGTAACTGGATGAATTAGCAGTGGACACGATGAAGGATTGGAATGTACTTACTCGTCAAGGTGGAACAAGCATCGGTGCAGGACGTATTCGATGATTGTCCAGAAGGCAAGTCCAAACACCCAGTAACCTGCAAGAGCCGGATAACTCAGGTCACCTTGAGCAGCGATGTAGGTCACACCTGCGACCACAGGCCACCAAAGTGTTGGCACGACCCACCAAGGTGTCTTGCTCAATGGCTCCAGAAAGTTGCCGAACAGTGGAGCCGAATCTCCTCCCTTGTAGTGGCGCGGTCGGTGTACCTGCTCGAGGTAAAAGTCCTTCTCGAAGCCGCCATTCCAGACTTGCATGAGCAATGGCTTGTTAAGATCAAGGAACTTGTGCTGCTTGTAATCGAGGTTATGGTCGGTCTCGCGCGACAGATCTTCAGCAGTTGACATGCCTGTCGCAGCATAGAGGGGCTTCTGATTCTGTTCCATGCCTTTAAGCTCGATCTTGCCCACCTCTGACGGGGGAAGAGGGACAATCTCATAAGGCTTGTTGCTCTTGGTGACAGCGTCCATAACCTCCTCGCTAGCTACGAAGCCAATCAGGCACTCATCCAGGATCTCGTAGGCGGAGTCTGAGTGGGCGTGGGAAATCTCGTCTTTCAGGATAGCTGTGACATCCTTACCGCCGTACTCGAGGATGAGCTCGCCGCCTCCTGGGTGACCGTCGAGGAAGTCTGTCACATCATAGACCTTGCTGCCAATCGTAACATAGCAGGACTTCTCGTTGTTGTGTGCCTGGACATCGGCGGTCGGAATCGTCGGAAGGCTGCGGCCTGGCATGGTGGTGGTTGTAGACATGCGGTCGAATTATTGGAGCCTAGGAGCTCACGAAATCGCGAGTTGGGTGGGTTGCTGTGAGATCGACTCGATTTGCGGGGCGCAAATCGATGCTTTAGGAGAACTGTCGCCACGAAACACAAGCAAGACGCAGATGAGGAAGGAAGGCGCAAATGAATACAATGCCTACGGTAGCAAAGGCAGCGTGAGGAGTGGAAAGCAGCGGAGAAGTGCTGCGGTGAAAAGTACAGTAAGATTGCGCAAAGGAGAGCGACGGGTATCGATAATTGTCAGGAGAGCTAAGCGGATCGGTTGCGTCGGGCAGATCAGCACAGCGTGGCGAGACATCTGGACCCTGGAACTTTACGCTTTCCGTTTTCCGAGCTATCGTTTCATTGGCGAAGAAAGGGCAAATTGCTCGACGAGTAACGAATTCTCTTCTGACAGAGATGACGTTGGCATATTCGTTGGCATTTTCAATATTCGTGTCCAATCTTGAATTGTTCGAGGCTTTTCCAGCTCTGAACTTACTGTGTCCTTGGACGCACTCATGTTACCAACAAGTCTCCGGGCTACCACTACAATTACTGACCAGACTGTAACAACCTTCAGACGGCGCACTAGGGAAGCATGCCAGAGCATGGTCTATGCCCATGCAATGCTCTTGTGCGATAACTGTCCGTTGTGGACAATGACATTGCGGATTGACTGAAGGCATATCATTTGTGGATATTTATTTTGTTTTTTTACATATCTTTTACATACGACCACAGGACGTTGAAAACAAGGCTTCCCGTTCGCTCAGCCCTATTTAAGCAACGTACCGGCGGATTAGTAGTTAGGTGGGTGACCACTAGCGAATACCCGCTGTTGTATGTTTTTGTGTCATTTTTGCACTTGTGTTCGTTTTATCATATGTTTATTCAAGCACCAGTCTGAACTCTCTGGTTTTTGTTTTTTAACGATCGTGCAGGCAGGCCAAACATCGGCGTTATCTGCACAGCCGTTTGAGATGCATTGCCGCTAGGGTTGTTGATTGGTGCCAGCCTTGTTGTCCCTTGCTAACCCTGGCTCGGCAGCGACAACCTGGACAACCTCTTGCGTCACCGACTGTGAATGCAGCCTCCAACTTCCTCACAATGTCAGTGATCGACTCCAGGACTCACCGTCGCCATGTTCCTTGATTTCCTGCGCGCGCTGGTCGCCCAGCATCCTTCACATCATCACATATCCTCACGACGCCCAGCTGGCCTGGAACTTTGCATCTCCTACCTCGCAAACATCCCTCGAACTACAGATCTCGCTGTGACTACACGTACCCACGTTGTGCAGTTGCTTTCACGATGCGCTCCTCTTCCAGAACCGGCTGGGTTAGCCAGTACCTATGCGTCGCACTTCTCTTTCTGAGCCATATCTCGCTTGTAGATGGTGTCCATCACATGGCCGTCAAGGCACCTCGCAGGTTGAATCGACGAAAGTTGGACATCACCCCATTGCTGGTCACAAACAACTGCCCGGAAGATATCTGGCCGGGAATCTCGACCCAGACTGGGAACGGACCTGCGACAAATGGTTTCAAGCTTTCGCCTGGAGAGACCAAGAACCAGACCGTGTCAGAAGATTGGCAAGGCCGAGTTTGGGGCAGAACAAACTGCAGCTTCAACGATGATGGAAGTGGCCCTGCCAATGGACGAGGGAGAGCCTGCTACTCTGGCGACTGCAATGGCATCCTGAATTGCCAAGTGGGTGTAAGTCTACATCGACAAGCACTTTTTTGGGATTCGAGGACTGACTCCGCTGTAGGGTGACGTACCTGTCTCGCTCGCTGAGTTCACACTGGATGCAGGAGACGGTCACACCTACTATGACATCTCCTTGGTCGACGGCTACAACCTCCCCTTAGCTATGGTACTCCAGCCTCTTGAGAACGTTACACTCGACGATATCCCCCCGAATCTGACAAATCCTTCTTGTCAAGGCACCTCCGGCCTCCTAGCACCTCAAGGTTACGATCCCTATTCCGAGTATCCGAACTTCCTCAGGACGAATACTTCGTACCCTCTGCCTTGGGAAGGTAACGTAGACCAAGACAAAATTTCTCGGTGGTGCCCCTGGGATCTACAACAGTCACCTCCCGACAAGCCTGGCGATGGCGTGTACCCATATCCCGACGACAACATTCAGCGGCCTTCTTTCAATCCTTGTTTCTCAGCCTGTGCGAAGAACAACAAACCTGAAGACTGCTGCACAGGAGAGTACAACTCGGCCAGCAAGTGTCGACCTGGCGATTACTCGAAAAACGTCAAGGAAGTTTGTCCGGACGCTTACAGTTTTGGTGAATCCATCCCACATCCTGAACCGAATGTCTAGTATAGCTAACCAATATCAGCGTTCGATGACCAGACCTCGACATTCATTATCCCCTCGGGCGCCGGTTTTGAGGTTGTGTTCTGTCCAGGCGCACGCTCGACCAATATCCTGGACACAAGCATGGCCGAGATGCAACAACTTGCACAGCAGGGGAAGGTCGATCACCAGAAGGCCAGAATGATGATGGAGAGACGGCAGCAAATGTTCAGAGGGGACTACGAAGCGACAGGCCTCTTCTCCAGGTGGCTGTCTCTCCGAGGATGACGCTTTCGCTCATGTTAGTGAAACCTGGGAGATCTTGGTGTTGTACATGTGTTTGCATAGTTCTATACCCTTTTAATGCTCCACGAATAGTAGATTGCTCATTGTCGACATTCTTGCTATGTTTTCGTCTTGCCAAAAGTCTCTTGACGGATCTTGGTCCCGTGCACTCCGAGGGATACGCTGCTCTTCGAGGTTTGTTCCAACTATCTCTTGAGTTCGCACGTCTCTCACCAGTTGCAATTGGACGATGCAGCGCTTCAGAGTTCGCACCTAGGAACGGCCGTGGTACCGTCCGAACCGTGATGAATGTCTCGCGGATCTACTACTTCCCATATCCGAAAGGAGGACCCGCCACTTCGGTTCGGGGTACCTCAACGACATCGAGAACATGCAGGTAATGCACTCCTGCGACAATGTTGTGGGCATCGAGCGGAGAGCTCGAGAATACGAGTGTCGTTAGCTCCCCATGCGGCGTGGGCGCCGGCTCAATCGGCAAATGTCTCCATCAGTCTTCAGCCTCTACCCACAACGCATTCGGTTTCAACAACCCAGCTCGCTCACGGAGACCCCAACCCCGCTCCTGTTATGATTGTGTCACCGTCCGCCGGAACATCGCGTGGTATGCGAGCAGCTGATCAGTACGAGCTTGGGGCTTATTTCTCCGAGGTTGCCTTACCACGCTAGCCATCCTGGATACGGAGAGCACCTTCCGTACACCTCCTTTCTAATATCGTAGGGTACCGAATAATTCCATACACCTCAACATGGCCCCGGTCAATTCGCCCGAGCTCCTACCGTGCCTGTGCCGCCTGAATGCCGGCAAAAATATACGGACGGAAGACCCTTTGTTTACATTATAGTAAGAAGACGCTCCTGCCACTGATCTACCCCGCTCACCGTCTGGATGAGCTGCTATATGAGCTTCACTGAAACTACAACAGACAATTGAAGCTCAAACAACATGGCAAAAGCTCAAGCATTGACTGTTCACCGTCTGTCAGATGGCTGGACATTCAAGCAAGCAGACGACACTGCTGAGGATGCCTGGCTTTCGGTCAAGACAGTTCCCACGAATGTTCACCTGGATCTGATTGAGCATGGAAAGTAAGCAGAATCACTATCAACTAAATCAAACAGCGACAGCTCACACAGCATCTAGAATCCCGGATCCGTTCTTGGGCTTCAATGAATTGAAGGCAGAATGGGTCGCAGACAAGGCCTGGACATACAAGGCCACACTTCCTAAGGTCGAAGAAGCTAAACATAGCACCGTTCATTTTCTGGCATTCGATGGCCTCGATACATTTGCGACTGTCAAGCTTAACGGCAAGGTCATCCTCGAAAGCGACAACATGTTCATCCCGCACCGCGTCGACGTTACGAAGGAGCTCAAGCCGCAAGCGGAAAACATCCTTGAGATCGACTTCAAGTCTGCAAGATTGGAAGCGATTAAGATTCGTGAAGCACATCCGGAGCACACATGGGTAGGCTTCAATGGCGATATGTCGCGACTCGCAGTCAGGAAAGCGCAGTACCACTGGGGCTGGGATTGGGGTCCAATCCTGAACACCTGCGGGCCGTGGCGCGAAGTTCGACTCGAAACGTATCAAGCTCGTGTGGAGGACGTTCGGGTCGACTACAAGCTAGACGACGGCTTAAAGTCAGTACAGGGCACAATCTCAGCGGTCGTCGAGGGCTCTTCGGCGAAGAGTGTGACTTTCAAAGTACAAGACGGCAATAAGCAGGTCTTCAAAGAGACTGCGAACGTTAGCGATGGCGTGGCGAAGGTCGACTTTCACGTGAACAACCCGAAGTTGTGGTACCCTCACGGCTACGGCCAGCAGCCTCTCTATAAAGTCACAGCAACAGTATCGACAGATGAAGTGGACGTGCATTCGATAACACGTCGTACCGGCTTCCGCAAGGGCGAGCTAGTCCAGGAACCTGATAAGATTGGAAAGACGTTCTTCTTCCGCATCAACGGTGTCGATGTGTTCTGTGGCGGCTCGGACTGGATTCCAGCAGATAACTTCACACCGAGGATTACCGAAGACAAATACCGCAAGTGGCTGGAGATGATGGTGGACGGATATCAAGTCATGATCAGAGTTTGGGGTGGAGGCATCTGGGAAGAAGATATATTCTACGAACTCTGCGATGAGCTTGGTATTCTGGTCTGGCAGGATTTTATGTTTGGCTGCGGCAACTATCCTGCTTTCCCCGAGATCCTGAAGTCGATCAAGGAGGAGTGCATCTCCAACGTAGCGCGGCTACGACACCATCCCTCCCTCATTATCTATGCTGGCAACAACGAGGACTACCAAGTGCAGGAGTCGTTTGGATTGACGTACAATTACGAGGACAAAGATCCTGAAAGCTGGCTCAAGACCGACTTCCCTGCCAGATACATCTACGAGAAGGTAAATGTTCGTGACTCAACTCACCAAATCTCAGCACTAATTGGCTGTCAACCAGATCCTTCCTGAAGCTGTCGCTGCCGAGAGTCCGCACATTCCATACCACCCAGGTTCGCCATGGGGTGACGGACTGAAGACCTCGAACACCACAGTAGGAGATATGCACCAATGGAACGTATGGCACGGTACACAGGAGAAGTACCAGATCTTCGACACGCTCGGTGGTCGATTCAACAGCGAGTTCGGAATGGAGGCATTCCCCCATATCGACACCATCAGATACTACTGCACCGATCCTACACAGCTGTTCCCTCAAAGTCACATGTTGGACTTCCACAATAAAGCAGACGGCCATGAGCGAAGAATCGCGACGTACCTTGTGGAGAACTTCCGCACCAAGACAGACCTTGAAGTGAGCCACTTACGATGAGTACATTCATCAGCACACATATTGACAAACGATAGGCATTTATCCACCTCACCCAGCTATCTCAGGCTGAAGCTCTGATGTTCGGTTACCGAGGCTGGAGGCGACAGTGGGGCCAGGAGCGTTTCTGCGGAGGTGCTCTTGTATGGCAGCTTAACGACTGCTGGCCAGTGACCTCGTGGTCCATTGTCGACTACTTTCAGCGCAAGAAGCCCGCATACTATGCTATGCGCCGTGTTCTTGCCCCCATCGCTGTCGCCGTCAAGCGCGCACACTTCGATTGGAGCGTTGTGCACGCACGAGTGCCGTCGAAGAGCGACTTCGAGCTGTGGGTTGCGTGCCAGAAACAGGAGCAGGTGAAGGCAACGGTTGAGCTGAGGTTCATCAGTATCAAGACCGGCAAGGAGATCAAGGAAAAGATTGTTAAGAAGGACATCACCCTTGTCCAGAACGGCACAACAGATGTGTTGTCAGGCACAATCGATAACGTAAACGAGGAGCCTCACGTGCTCGCAGCGCGCATATGGGTCGATGGCGAGGTCGTTTCGAGAGACGTTGATTGGCCACAGCCACTGAAGTACCTCGACTTCGGGGACCGCGGCCTGGAGGTCGTTCCTCATGGTAACACAATCTTGGTGAAGGCTGACAAGCCCACAAAGGGCCTTGTTTTTGAGGAGAGGTCAGGTGTACTTGTTCACGACAGTGCAATCGATGTGGTTCCTGGCGATGAACAAGTCATCAAAGTGCGAGGGCTGGGTAAACAGGATAAACCTTTGAAGTGGAGACACCTGGGCAAGGACTGAGTTCAGCTTGCAGTCGAGCATACAATGTGAAAGTGCTGCACCTAGATTCGAAAGCAGCAATGCCTATGCATACAGGATTTGAGGGGTTCAACCACAGCGTTACATGCTTGCATCTCATTGAAGGAAATGTTCGACTATCGTCTGAACGAAGCAGGTCACTAAGCATCAGATCCACTGGGCGTTGCAGATATTTGGCGGTGGCTATAGTGAGCCACAGCGAGCACCCCACCTGGGCACCAAAGAGGAAAGTTTTCAAGTTTGTGAAGGCCGTGCGTGTGCATCAACGTTGATCCTGCATCATCGCCCATCGACAACGGCGTGCCCGCGTCCGCGGCCGCGTTATCTGATGAAGATCATATGTGAGGCAAGTATAGACTGCATACCTGGTCAAGGTAGTTTGATTTGAAAGTATTTCTTGGAGTTCGCTAAGCTGCTCAACCAATTTCCACCGTGCAATGCGTTGGCTAGCAAAAGCTCTCTACGAAGTAGTTGGGTGGTCTCGATGCGCCCTAGTCCCACTTGCCGCGAAGTGATGTGACAAAAGGAACTAGCGACCAGATGTTCACAGCTTGCCCAAGTGAGCACTGGTACAACTCCACCAATCATACAATTCCGCGTTGCTGCACCCCAGCTTTACACACACCCTCTAGGACGCCAGCCACCCGCGATCATTGGCCGACTTTCACTTTGGCAAAGTGTTTTACCGGGTCTCTGCTCGAAGGCGTTGGGGTGCAGCTGAATCGAAAGCAGCCGGGATCGCGTTACCCGAGGTATCAAGATGAGGACGAACTTACATGACCTCTCGCCATCGCTATTTGATCGCTGGCACCTCAAAAATTGCGGGAGCATGATTTGACCCGACTCTTGACGTGCAGTAGTCGCCGCGCCGGCCCTCAAGCGCCAAATCGCTCTCGTCGAGCTTCGAAAAAGCTGCCCTCAATTTCGCTCGGCCTCCGCTTTCTGTTCCGCCTACCCGCCTCCACAGTCTGCATGCTCTTCCCTGCCGCATCCTAAATGTCATATTGCGGGGGCGAATGGTATACGTCTTCTGCAAATCTTGCTGTACGAGGAAGCTAATCAAGGCTTGCAGAGCAATGCTGACCTGAAAATGAGCGGCAAGCAAAACGTGCACTCTGCAGATTATCGATACTACTGTGGAGCCAAGGCGGAATGCCATACAGCTGTATCGACTGCATATACTACACTCCCGTACCGGTTCCTCTGATATAACAACCCCGACCCTGTGTTCCTGGGCCGCGGCATTCATATTGAACCTCGCATAAGTACCATTACGCTGGTCTTCGGTCCCGGGTAATCTCTCTGCAAAACGCACCTACCAACCTTCATTTTGGAACTGGCTGCTGCACTCATGCTTTTCTGACCTTCCAAATGTGTTGCGACGCGGAAGGTTTATAGCATGTTCCACACTTTCCACTCGTCTGCGGGGCAGCGACAACCCGCAGGCGAGGGTGACTTTGCCGGAAAACCAACACGGTCAACTGGTTCGCGGCGGATATCAACCAGCAACGCATGCGTTGAGTGCAGACGGAGGAAGATACGTTGTGATGGAACGCAGCCTTGCGGACAGTGCCAGTGGTACCAACACCCTGAAGTAAGCCTCGATGTCGATGTGCTCCGAAGTTGTGACTCGTTTGGAATGCCTCAGGCTAACATTGACGTAGGCATGCAGCTATTCGAAACCCGCACAGCGAGTCGTACCCAGCCGCAAGTGAGTCTTCTATAATCCGCTCTTTGGTCGATACGTACTGATGGTGCGCAGACTGGTTGACAAATTGTCAAGTAACATTGATCTGTATAAGAGTGTCTTGACGAAGCTACTGGGGACAACGCAGCTCGACTCGTTAGCAAATCTTTCCCGAGAGGAACTTTTGCAGCTCGCTCTGACCTCTCCTGAAGTCACTCAAAAAACATCACCATCCGTAGCAAATGCGCAGGCTATGTCAGAGATTCATACCGGCTCAGATGGCGCCGATAGTCTGGAAGCGCTGGAGCAAGCACCACCAGAGGATCCCTACTGGGATGAAGCACGAAAGCACCAAATTCGTGTGCAGGGGATATCGGATGATGTCAACGGCCTTTCCATGTCTGTGGACAGGCTGTCATCGTACGTTGGGATATCCTCAATTACGGCAGCGCTAAAGGTCATTGTCCGTTGCGCACCGCAAGCACGACCGCTGCTCAGCCATAACAACCAAACAGAAACAGCACTACCTAGCCGAGCAAATTCTCCACCACCCGAGCTCACAAACAACCACCCACTAGCATTACCTTCGCAAGCACAGGGGGAAAGCCTTATCGAAAGCTATTTCGACCGATGTCACCCCTTCTTTCCGCTGATCGATGAACGCAAATTCTGGGCTACGTACCTGCACGGGAATCGAACAGACTCCCAATGGCTAGCATTGTTGAACATCGTATTTGCTGTGGGCTCATTGGCGTCATCGACCGCTGACAATCAAGCACACTACACATACTTCAACCGATCACGGAAACACATGTCTCTAGAGTCCTTTGGTAGCGGCAACATTGAAGTGCTGCAAGCTCTAGCCATAATGAGCGGCTATTACATGCACTACCTCAACCGGCCGAACGAAGCGCATTCGCTCATGGGTGGAACCCTCCGAATGGCTACGTCGTTAGGTCTACATCGCGAGTACTCGGAGCGAAGCGATACCGGCAGACAACTAGCGCCACCTGAAGAGGAGGAGGCTATTTCACCTGAGATGAGGCGACGGATGTGGTGGAGCCTGTTCTGTCTCGATGCATGGGCATCTACAACGACCGGGAGACCGTCTTTGGGTCGAATGGGGCCGTCAATCACGGTTATGAAGCCTGGTACAGCTGCCAACGCTGTGAGTAAATCTTGATGGAACCATCGAAGCTCATACTGACATTTTGGCAGGTGCCGACCATTATCATGCCGAACAGCCCGCAGTTCATGGATCAACTGAGACTGCTGCCTCTCACCCATGCATCCACATTCTGTGCGATCGCTACGAAGATACAAGATCGGCTGGTCGAGTCACCTCTCCTCCCACATCCGGAGACAGCTGCATACGATGCCCAGATCTTGAAGTGGCACGAGGAGCTTCCGTCGATTTTGTCCAACTATGACGAGCAATGTCCGGAGTTCCTCCATCGAGTACGATGCATTATGAAGTGGCGCTTCCAAAATATTCGAATCGTACTACACCGGCCTGTACTGCTAACCACGGCTCTCCGAAGGTGCACGTGGGCTACTTTGACAGCGGAGGAGAAGACCGCGGTTGAGAAGTGTCGGACAGTTGCCAGCACTACCATCGAGGAGCTCAACAGAGATTGCATGCCTGATCTAATCTCTGGATGGAATGCAGTCTGGTTCTGCTTCCAGGCCTGCATGGTGCCTCTAGTGTCCCTATTCAGTGATGCGAGTCAGCCAGAGGAGGTCGAAAATTGGAAGGCTAGCATCGAAACAGCATTAGCCTTCTTCGACCGAGTAAGAGACTGGAGCATAGCAGCCAAAAGAAGTGCAGATGCCGTAGCGAGGCTATATACGGCATACAAGGCACAGAAGACAACACCTCCACAACTATCGATTCCTCCAACACCACAGATGCAACAGCAACAGCAGGCATACGACATGCCGAACAACTACTCGCACCTCAACGTTCTAAATCCGAACCTCGAGCCGGGCCAAGATCCCTTCGACTACAATGCTGCCGGTATGCAAAACTGGCCGAACGCGAACATGAACGATCCAAACTACCTAAACTTTTTTTGGGATGATATGATGTGGGATACGAATCTACCCGATATGCAAGACGCACGATATGGAATGAGCAACGTTTACGACTTTACGGGTGCGGCGCAAGATTCGGGTATTGATGGGGCGTATTGGATGCACGGAAACTAAGACTGGGAAACGGTGGACCGAAAAGGAGAATTCCGCTAGACGGTCGCTTTTGTCTCATCGCACGATACCCTGAGTTTGTATGTTAGATGTATATGAAGATGAGAAATATACGAGAGAATCATTTCAATAAAAAGACATGGCATCTGGCATCAACGTCTTTCTTGAGTGTACGTGTACTTTACTTCTTATGTGTTGTTACAAAGGAAAGGCCGTCACGTCATGAAATCGTCCAGCAACTCTCAGTTCTTCTTCTTCAAGGCTCCTCCATCGACCGTAATGTCCTGACCAGTCACGAAACCAGCCTCGATCAGCCACAAGCACGCATCGATAACGTCCTTCGGCCTACCCGCACGGTTCGTTGGGTGGTCGCCGACATCCTTCTCGCTGACCTGCTCCTCCCAGTTCGTCCCCGCCTCGTCACCCTCCTTGCACTCGTGCGCAACCTTGATCCTACCTGGCGCCACCAAGTTCACACGGATGCCCAAAGCACCCAGACTGATCGCCATCGAATGCATCAAGCCCAACAAACCCGACTTGCTCGAAGCGTACCCCTCCTGATTTGGATCGGACTGGTGTGCACGGAAACTGCCAATGTGGATGATACACGGTCCGGCTCCCTGCTCTTTATGTGCACCCTTCTCGCGATCATGGGTGCGCGCTTTCATGTACGGAATGCAAGCCTGGCTCATGGCAAACGGACCGCTCAGATTCGTCTCGATGTACGCTTGCCACTCTTCCCAGGTACTATTGTCTTCCATCGTCTTGCCGTCTTTCCACTGCGGAGACGCAATGCCGCCGTTGTTGACGAGCACATCAATGCGGCTGTCGAAGAACTTCTCGGCTGCTGTGGTGACTTTCTTGCGGATGTCTTCGACGTCTCGCAGGTTGCAGATGGCGAAGTCGACTCTCTTGCCTTCGTAGTAATTTTTTAGGTGCACTTGGGTGGTGTGCTTGAGTTCTTCCTCGTCGACGTCAAATATAAAGACGTGGTGGCCTGCTTCGAGGAACATGCGTGACATGGCGCGGCCAATGCCGCGGGCACCGCCGCTGACGATGATGTTCTTGGGTGGTGCTTGGAATGTCATGGTCGAGATTGATTGATTTGAAGTTGGGGAAAGTTGGGGCGTGGGGTTTGGAGGAATCGCGAACTGATATTCGGGGTGTTACCGTGGGTTCAGACGTGCGTACGCTTGACGTCATGCCTGCAATTCTCAAAATTTCGAGCAGTCACGATAAGGAAGGGGTAAGAAACCCAAATTATCGATCTTCAAGCTTTGGTTTCAAAGGTATTGGATTCCTCAGCCCGCTGATGATGCGTCTATCGTTCGATCTTATGCACCCCACATCGTCCATTCACCGCGCTAGTGCTAGCGCGTGCACTCGGTCAGGATTTACGAAGTAGACATCTGCGACAAAAATATCAGCTCATGAGTAAAACGAACCAATTTTGATACCAGGACTGGTTTCACTGATTGCAAATGATTCGAATACGACGACAAGTTCGTTCAATCGTAGCATTAGCATGCTACGGACAGTTTGTGGTTTGCCCTCTTTGTCAACATCAGCTGTGCAGGAGGGCTTGCGATGGCAATCAACAAAGAATTTCCGTCGATTCCTTTTGGATGGGTTGTTCCAGTCGTTCCCCTTCTGTACACCATGGCCGCTTGTTGGGCCAATGTGAAGTATGACTCAAAGGATAGCGTTTTAGGAATCTGGTTCTTAGGTTTGCCAGTAATTATACAATATGACGCATTCAGCTGGACTCTGCTTACATGTGCAGGCCGGCATGGCTGTTATTGGCCTTCTGTTTGCCTTCCTGAATTCTCAGATGGAGGAAGCGTATCAAGCTAAAGTCAAGACTCAGGCTAGCGCTGAGTCTCCGGTGTGAGAGACTGGAGTAGTTACACTTATGATTTCAAGTAGAGCGAAGACATGCACACCAAATCGTCGCCTGCAGGAGAGTACCTATTCTCGTGGTTCGAAAAATCTAGCAGATATGTAGCCATCCAGACAATCAAAAATGGTGAGAATGCTTTTCAATGAATCTACTTGAAGATTTCAATGGATACTGATGTTTTACACAGCAAGTGCTTTGCGATGCCTGGAGGTACCCAGTATTGTCATCCCCTTAATGACGTTGATTGAACTGCGCTGAACCACATTTGAGCTCTTGGTTGAAGGAGCTTGATTACGCACAGTGAGCCTGGCTGGTCATCACCTCATCCAAACTTTGTTAATGCACTCGCCTGCGCCACGGACGCGAGCCACGGTTGAAGTTCCCCTGAGAGTCCTGTCGCATAGATAAAATATCGCCTCTTCTTGTTTTTCTGCCCATCACTTCCCGCTCTCACCACTATTCTCACCATGAAAAACCCCACGCCTCCTTACACTCAGATACCTAACGCGGAGTTCGAAATGACAGAGACTAAAGCATACGATACAGAGCTCGACATGACGGATACCGAAGTCACCGGTCACACCATGACAGTGACTCGCATACCCTTTGTGGTTATGAGTGCTACCGTCCTTGTCGCCTGGGCTGCTTTCATTATCATCCGGATCCGCATCGCAGGTAATGTCGACAAGCTCGGACTTTGGCTCGTATGTACCTTTGGCTTTCTGGTATAGTTTCAGCATATCCTGAAGGACTTCAGTACCTGATGAAACGTAACATAGTTTACTGTTAGGGTCAACGTCTTCTGCGCCATAGGCGCTGTCAACACAGTCAAAACCGGGTACCCGTCCGTTCACGAAGGCTTCATTCTACCGATGGTGCCTCTACTATACAGTGCAGCTGCATTTGGGTCCAAAGGGTGTTCGAGCCCAATGAAGGTATCCTATGGATGTGGTTTCTTGGTATGCTCGTGAGTATCCTCACGTCGCTTTGTTGACCTTCGCTAAATTATACAGCTTGGTATGGGGATTGTTGGCATGATCCTCTGCCACATGTACGAACTGTCGGAAAAAGAGTATCAGCGTAAAGTCACGGAACAAACCAGGTCTGATCTGTGATGTGGAAATCGGACCAGCTGTAGTCGTCATACTTGTCGAACACCTTACATTGGAGGGTGGCGCACGACACTGTCATCTATAGGATACATGCTGTTGCTTCAAGAGCATTTATGCGATAAGTAGCCATATAATCGCTTCATAACTGCGAATTTGCTTTCTCGTCAGTAGTGTTGAGGGCTACGATGTCTCAACCATGCCCGTTTGCTCGACGCTGGTAAGCTTCGGAGGAAGTCACGATCATGGCACTGACCCGCAGCACCGTTTGCCTGAGCGCCCGCTTGCACCTTCCCTACTTCTGGTGGCAGTCAACAGTTTTTCGATCGCCCTTTCTGACCTTTCCTCTTACACCTCATAGTGGTTAATGTGCATCATTGGCGGCGCCAGCCTTTGCTGTCAGTCAGGGCCTCAACCTATACTTTAAAACAACAAACCGGCTCCTGCTCGGTCTTCCCCTGCCTATTGCCTATCTTGCTGCCGGACCTGTTGGTCAGATGGGTATGTGGAGTCCAGGGGAGCGTCTTGAACTCTGGTTCCGGTGAGTGTATGCTGTATTCGGCGAAACTCTTCACTAATGTTTTTAGGGTGGTGGTATGGTATTTGGCATGCTCCTCGCTGCTCACCGCTCTCGTCGTCGAATGCGCCAGGCCTTGAGGTGCTCCACGGTCCCGTCATCTGATGGGAAAACAAAGATCGATGTTGCTGATTGATGGCGACAGCGACAGACGCTGCACGCCACGCACAGCTCACACGAAACGATGCCGTATACCTAAGCCTAGTATATAGCAGCAAGACAATTTCAATGAGATTGTTCCAGCGATCCCACCTTCTTGAGTCGTCGATGAACACCGTGTTATGCTTCCAAGATCACTCCCTTACCTCAACCTTCTTCTCCCTTCTTCCGCCTCACAAATTTCTCTCTGGACCCTTTCTGTTTCCTCAACATTGACATAGATCGCCAACATGCAACTCACACTCGCCTTCACCCTGCTCTTCCTCTTCACTTCCACCACATTGGTTAACTCTCCACCCGAACACGCGCCGACTCGAAAACCCACCTCTACGTATGCACCGAGCAGGCGCAGGGCGGCAACTGCAAGAACATCGAGCTCTCCATTGGAAGATGCTACAACCTGGAAAAAGCGTTCGACAACAACGTATCGAGTGCTGGGCCGGACGAAGGGACGTTTTGTACGCTGTACTCATGAGTGACTGGAATCCCTGTTGAAAGGTACGGGGCTGATGAAGACTAGGGATCGCAGCTGTCGTGGCAAGGCTATCCGATTTACGAATCCTGGGATTAGCGACTTTACGAAAAATAGATTTGATAATGAGTTGAGTGGTGTGAGCTGTGATTTCATCTGGGGTTGGTCGAAGAAGAGTGGGTGAGTAGAGAGGTGTTCGCATCAGAAGGGCTTCGGTCTGTTGCGTAGGTGGCGATGCGAGATGTAGAGTTTGTGAGGTCACAATCAGATGCAGAGTTGAGAGTAACGTTATGAAAGAGATTCATCCAAGCCTTTTGGTAAATAGTGTGAGCTCCGGTGCCCCCAAACGCCGATCCCATCCCAGAAGTACAGGTATATGCTCATGCATCATTAACAAAACAACAAGATCGTATCAACCCTCTATTTGGCGCGCTCATAGACACCAACGACCATGGCGTGGTCACGCTCGAAGGGCTCGAGGGTAAGCTGCTCCTTAGGCTTGATGCCCATCTCCCTCAGCTTGGCGACTTCCTGGGCGAAGACAGCCTCAGGTGCGGCGGTCGAGTCAATACAGTTGGCCTTGATGGAGATGACGATACCACCGCCAACCTTCAGGAAGAGACCGGCGTTAAGACCGACGATACGGGCCTGATCGGGCTGGGCAACATCGGCGAAGATGCAGTCGACCATGCCGACAAGCATACGGTACTTGAGGGGGTGACGGGCATCCTCGACAATGGGGATGACGTTTGTGCGGTGGGTGGCCATGTTAATCAGATCACGACCGGAGCGGTGGGAGAACTCAACGGCGAAGACAGTTCCCTCGGGGCCAACGATATCGGCAACGTGGGAGACGGAGGTACCAGAGGCAGCACCGAGGTAGAGGACCTTAGAGCCAGGGCCCATGTAGATGTTGTCGACACCACCGAGGATACCAGCAGCCAACTTGGAACGGAAGGGGTTCCAGACACGGTACTCGATGGCAGAGGGAGCAGCATCCTCGCTGTTCTCGGCCTTCTCGGCTCCAACGCTGATGCGCTTCTCGCCGTAGACACTCTCGCCAGGGGTCAGGTTCTTGGTGACGAGGAGATCCTCCTTTCCGCGAGCAACGAAGACACCGGCGTGACGGTGGGGCTCGACAATGACCTTACTACGGACTATTAGTTGCATGTTCTTATGTCTCGAAGTTGAACTTACGCTCCGCCACGGGCGCCGCCGCGAGCACCACCACGTCCACCACGGGCACCACCGCGAGGAGCACCACGGCCTCCGCGAGCGCCTCCACGGCCACCACGGTCGCCGCCAAAGCCACCGCGACCGCCGCCGCGAGCACCGCCGCGTCCACCGCGAGGAGTGAAGCCTCCGCGACCACCACGGTCACCACCGCCACGTCCGCCTCTACAATATGTTAGTTGTGCATCATAAGTGTGTGATCAAAGTGTGCAGTGTGCAGTGCGCAGTGATATGAGCATGCGCAGGTATTTCTCGAGCAGCTGTCGCAACAAAGCAGCTATCGTCTCGAGAAACTAGCTGCGCATCCCAGCTGCAGCGCAATGGCAGGTATGCTCGACCTTAACATGGATGGAGTCGTACCTGGGTGTGAAAGCCATTGCTGTTTATGGTGTGGAGAAAAAGGTATATGTCGTTGTAGATGCTCGACAGTGCAATCGTAAGGCGATGGAGAGCTTCGCAGTTCAAAGTTCGAGAATTTCTTTGCAAGCTCGCCGCGCTAACGCCAAAATTCGAAAGGCGCCAAGCGCACATCCCTGCAAGTTCGCTGAAGCGAGCCAGCCCACAGTTGCGATTTTGCCCTTTCGACTCCAACCGCACTCTCGTACTAACAACACAGGTCCTCATCGCCCGCCAAAATGGTGAGTCGTCGCCCGCCGTCGCAATGCTCGCAGAAGAGCTGCTGCGTTTCGCGAATTCGAAATTAATTGCTGTCCGCAGGTTCGTTACGGAGCATCCACCCTCGACAACGCAAAGAGCGCCCGCGCTCGCGGTTCCTACCTCCGTGTCTCCTTCAAGAACACCCGCGAGACCGCCCAGGCCATCAACGGATGGAAGCTCGAGCGCGCCCTCACCTACCTCGGTAACGTCCTGGAGCACAAGGAGGCCGTTCCCATGAGGCGCTACGCCGGCAGCACTGGACGCACCGCCCAGGGTGAGTGACCCTCCATCTCGCACGCAAGGATGCACGGATTGGTCCTGGATATTGGAACGCACTGGAAGAGGAGGACTGCGCTGGATTTGGAATTACACTGCGCTGCATTTGCGTGGATCGAAATTTGCATGGGCAATGGCTGACTCCCGCAGGCAAGGCTTTCGGTGTCTCCAAGGCCCGCTGGCCCGTCAAGTCCGCCGAGATCCTTCTCGGTCTCCTCAAGAACGCTGAGGCCAACGCCGACACCAAAGGTCTCGACACCGCCAACTTGATTGTCAAGCACATCCAGGTCAACCAGGCCCCCAAGCAGCGAAGGCGCACTTACCGTGCTCACGGTCGTGTACGTACCAGCACTCTACACACACAGCTCCGGCTCTAACAGCGCATAGATCAACCCCTACATGTCCAACCCCTCCCACATCGAGCTCATCCTCACCGAGGGTGCCGAGGTTGTCCAGAAGTCCGCCCAGACCGTCGAGCGCCGATTGAACTCCAGGCAGCGTGGCCGTGAGGTCCGCAAGGCCATCACCGCTGCGTAAGCAGCTCCAGGAGAGGTGTTGAAGTTTAAGCGAAGACAAAAGGACAAGGCATGGGCAGGGTCTGGGAGTCAATGAGCGATGAATTATAGGGTCTTTCATACTCACTCATCATGTGTGCATGATTGGGAATTCGATTTCTCCGGTGTCTGGTCGATAAACAAACAGGGCCACGGCCTGATTCCCAAACTCAGCGCTTTCTCTGCATGTGTACGCAACGTTGTCGTGCACCGCCATTGCATGCTCACGACCTTCCTAGCGCTTAATGCAATGTATTATGAACCTTCTGCATATTCGCACATCAGTACTCGAAAACTATATCTAACTTGTACGGCCAGGACCTGACGTCGGATGGCAACCGTCACTAATCGCACATCCCCCATGAAATTTGGCTGATGGCGCTAGTACACATTGACCTTAGCCATCTTTTCAACCAGCTTTCGTCCCTCCAGCACGCACAACACATCACGACTTCACCGTTACGGCGCTGCAACATCTGTGCACTCCTCGGGTGTCGTATGATGCTGAGAATCGCTCCTCTTTCCTGACTCGACGATAGCCGTTATCTTGCTCCTCGGCGCCTGCCAAGTTTCAGAATCACAACCGTCATGACGCAAGCCCAGCACACCCATGTGCATCGCCGCACCTTGTCGATATCGTGAGTGGACTATATATCCGACTTACCCATGCGTACCTTGCTTTCCTTACTAGCCTTTCTCTTGTACATATTCGTGTGAACACCTGCCGGTTTCTTGTTTCTCAAGTCAAACATCAGCTGTTTGAAAGATGTCGACCTTCCAACATCGTCCGCGGCTACTCGGAGCACTAGCACTCAGTCTTCTCGCCACTACACAAGCACAAGACAGTAGGAGGGGGTTTGCATTCATAGGAGACACCCATGCACCAGATAACAAACTCCTGTCATCAGAGAGCAGTCCGCTTGCCTGGTACTATAACTGGAGTCCTTACCCAAACAGCGACCTGATTCCTACTGGCTCCCTCGAGTTCATTCCTATGATCCATGGTATCGATGCCACAGAAGACAGCAGAACAGAACAAGTGGTCGGAGGCCTCGACAAGTCAAGCACACATCTGCTTTCGTTCAACGAGCCAGACGGAACGACAAGTAGTGGCGGGTCCAGCATCAGCCCCGAAGATGCAGCAAGAGCGTACATCGACTACGTCGTACCTTTCAGGAATGGCTCGAAAGGTGGAAGGAATTGGAAGATCAGCCATCCTTCGACTACTGGCTCAGGCAACGGCCTGGAGTGGCTCAGATCTTTCAACTCATCTTGTTATGACATCGATCCGGAGAACGGTTGTCCAACAGACTTTATCGCTGCACACTGGTATGGTGACTTCGGCGGATTGGCAAGCTGGCTGGGGACGCTCAATGAATTCTACAACGCCAATTCGACGAACGACTCAAACCTCAAGATTTGGGTTACCGAGATGGGCCTGCCACAACAGTCTGCCGACGCTACGGTGGGTATGATGAACCAAACACTCCCGTACTTAGATGGCCTCGACTACGTCGAACGATACGCCTGGTTCGGTGCATTCAGAACCGACGACGCCAATGAGTGGACTGGCGATGGTGTGGCATTATTCGACGACGATGGCGGTCTTACGGAGCTTGGTGCACTGTATATGGGCAATGGCTTCAAGCAAGGTCAAAAGGGTGAAGGCTCGGGTGCGGGTATGCTTAATGTGAACATGGCTGTAGTTGTGGCGATGGGACTAGTGAGCGTGCTGATGAGCATACTGTGACTGTATATTTAAGTTTGTTTTTGGCTGCGTTTGAGCGTTAGATCGTAGATACCCTTGGTTTCTTAGCAGAATTGGAACGGTCACCTTACATGACATCTCAACCCTAAGCTTCTGATACCGCATACTCTTAATGTTGTAAATACATTCAGGGTTCGAAGGTTGGGGCTTCAACTTGCCAGGAAGCGCATGCCGGATGAGCCGGACGATCTGGGGCGCCGGCTTAGTACCTTTGCAGCCACACCTTTGTCTTTACGCTTCGTCAACATCAGCACCGACACCCGTACCTCGTAACGCCTTCAGTGATATTTGTATTCTACCACTTGGCGGCTCTGTGCGGCTTTGTTCCCAATTCTTGATGTTCACGCAGCCAACTGCCATGGAAACGTTCCGGCGCGCTCTCACAGGCTGCACTAACATCGCGAACACTACACATGCAACGCTCTATCCCAACAATGACGGTGATCCCCGCGGTTCGGTTGAATGCCTGCCGAACGTTGTCGTGGAGGACCCAGGTGAGCCGCATCGAATCTGGAGAATGATCAGCTAGCATCGCTGCAATCCTTTACGGAGCTGAGCCTCAAGGTCTCTACGCGAGTGCATGAAGATGGATCGACATCCACATACTAGGACTTTGCATCGGCTCTAGACATAAACGTCTGCATTGAGACACTATGGGGCTCTGGAAACATAACTTTCATGGCAAGACGCTCATTTTGCTGTCACGGCGGCGTCATGTCAGGCTTCTTGCTTTTAAGTTTCGACCAAGGTACGCGACGATCCAGCTTGTATTTCTTCTGATGCTCGACTAACTATCTCAGGTGTTATGGGCGGAATCGTTGGGGCTGACAACCCCTTCGGTCGCCACTTCAACAACCCTGACGCCGATATGCAAGGCAACATCACCGCCCTGTACGATATCGGCTGCGTCTTAGGATCGATCATCACCTACTTCGTTGGCAAGCGATTCGGTCGCCACACCATGCTCATGGCTGGCGGTGCTATTATGATCGTCGGCGCTGCGCTGCTGGGCAGCTCGACTACGATCGCGCAACTCATCACGGGTCGAATTGTCACAGGAGTCGGGAACAGCATGGACTCGAGTACGGCACCAGTATATCTTACGGAGTGTGCGCCACCGAGCTACCGAGGTGCCCTCTTGACACTGCAAGGAACGGCCACGATTCTGGGCGTCGTTATTGCATACTGGTAAGTATGCTGAAGGAATAGATACAGCTGTGACTTTGGGCCTGAGCCCTCACCATATCTTGTACCTTCATTAAACTCAACCTCTCGTAACTAAATCTTTGCATTACCAGAGGAGCTACTGCACCTCTCGTCTTCCATAGTCTTAGACTCAGATAGGACGTTAAACCAATCAATCAATCAGATACAGCTGTGACTGACACGGGACAGGATGGACTATGGCACGAACGTCTCGAGCAATTCCTTCAAGTGGCGCTTTCCTCTCTCCTTCCAGGCTGTCTTCGCTGTCTTTCTCATTCTTCAGATCATCGATTTACCTGAGACCCCGCGCTGGCTCGTTGTGCACGATCGCTACGCAGAGGCAAAAGAAGCCACCGCCGCTCTTGAAGGCAAACCACTTGACGACCCTACTGACAATGCAACAATTCTCGACATCAAGTCAGGTTTGGACGAGGAACACAATGACGGGCTTTTCCGCTTCATGGAGCTCTTCTCTTGGGGCGGGACGCAGAACGTTCGACGATTGCTCATCGTCATCAGCATTCAACTGGGTCAGCAATTCTCTGGGAGCAATATGTACATGGCCTCTTACGCCAAAGCCCAACTCGCTTCGTGCTAACAACTCATCAGGATCAACTACTACCTTCCTGTTATCCTCCAGGACAGTATGGGTCTTAGCCATCAGCTCTCACTCATCCTTGGTGGCGCCGCTCAACGCACGTTCCTGGTCGGTTTAGCCATCCGAGTCCTCCTTATGGATCGTTTCGGTCTCTGCACACTTTTCATGGGCTGCTCAGCAGGACTGTGCTTGTGTTTCGTATGCGTTAGTGCTCTGTTGTCGAAGACAGTTGATGGGATGGTATCTGAGGGCAGAGGCTACGCCGCCACAGCGTTTATTTTCATGTTTCAGCTGTTCTACGGCGTTGGATGGCTGCCAGTGCCGTGCTTCTACCCCCCTGAGATTGCAACGACCAGGAAGAGGACGAAAGTGCAGGCTATTGCCAGCGGGTGGAACTGGATGCTCGTTTTTGTTGTGGTAAAGACCACTCTTATTGCCTGCGGTAAGTCCTCATACCCCATAGCCATAAGCCAGAAACATACTGACTTTCACAAGGAAATATCCAATGGCACACATTCATCGTCTTCGCCTTCCTCAACGCTGCGTCCATCACGACGGTGTACTTTTTCTACCCCGAGACTAAGGGCCTTACTCTCGAGGATATCCCTCTGCTGTTCCACAAGAAGGGCATTACTGGTGGTGTCTCCTCGAGCAAGGGCGGAAGAACGGTTTTTTTGGAGCAGCACGCGCGGAAGGCGCATATTGACAAGAAGATGCATTTGGGTGAAGAGAGGATGGAGGGAGATCAGGCGCAGGATGAGAAGACAGCATGAGGTAGATACTGTCGCTGCTGAGACCAATATCATACGATTCCTTTTTGACAAAGAAAGAACGAAACCGCAGGCCTATGCAAGCATGCTTCCGTTCTGTATGTCTTTTTGTACCGTCAGGGCCGTTCAATAAGATTGGCTTGCTGACTAAGCGGGCCCATCCATGCTCAAGTATGAACCAAAGCCTACAGAGTAGTCTTGTTGCCCGGAAGGGTGTTGATTGACACTCCCCATTTCGATTTCAGGCATGTCCTGAACTTCTTCACGTTTTGGATGACTCTGTGCATCCTTCACACAGCACGCGCAGATGATCAAGACCATGGTAACGAGGCTATTCAGTTCCCTCTTCTGGGTTACCGTGTCCGTGCGCGTAATGCGCGGATTCGCGTAATGCGCCGAACCACCAAAATAGGTCCACCAAAAATGAGGCTGTAGAGCCACACACAATGGTTATTATCATGAGATTTTCTGGTGGAGTAGTCTATAGACCTATATGAACAAGTTCCTCACTCAAACTTTTGTGGCACTCTGATTGGGCGGCCGCGGCTGTTGTATTTTGCCGGAGGGGATGGGGAGCGAGGCGCGGCAGCAGCACGACTACGGGCAGCTGCACTACCACGATTCTGCTTCTTCCTGGGTGCTGCAACCTCTGAGGCCTTGCGCTTGCCTCTTTGGGACAATTGTATAGGTTTCTTGGTGTTGCGCTCCCTCTGTTGACGCTCTTTTTCGGCCTTGCGTTCGGCAACCTCCTGAGCCTTCTCAGCCTTCCGCTGCTCACGCTCTTCCTTCTCCCTCAACTTCTGCTCACGCCTCTCCTGTGCAATCTTCTCCTTGTACAGCTTATTGGCGTGCCTCAGTTTAGCCATCTCTGCTTTTTTGAGCACCTCTGCCTTCTGCTCTTGTTGTTTTGCCTTCTCACGTGCGCGTGCTTTCTCTACTCTACTAGGAGAGTAAAACTCGGCTCCACCGTGGTAGTCCTTGTGACGCTGAAGCTCAAGAGGCTTGCTCTTCTTCTTGTGCTT